CTAGGGTTCCCCACCCTCCCCCTAGTACATCCTTCCTTTCAAACAGTTAGCACCTTAGTTCAGGCCCTCATCACCTGTCACCTAGATTATTTCAACAGCCCCTTGGTTTTTCTCTTCTTGCCTCAAGTCTTTACTACTGCACCCTCTTCCTACCGCCAAAGTGTTTTTCCTTAAATGTAAATTTGGACCGTCTCACTCTGCTGTTTAACTCCAGTGACTTCTATTGCTTTTAGGATCAAATATGAACTACTCTGTTCAGCTTTAAAAATTTGGACCCCAACCTGTCTTTCTGGACTTGGTGAATGTTATTCACCCTTCCACACTCTTTGATCAAGCCCAACTGCCTTTCCCTCTGTTCCTCACATACTATATCAGCTCCATCTCTCATCCTTGTCCCTTTGCACTTTCCCTGGCTCAGACCTGAAATGCACTTGTCCATCTGCTTCATAGAGTTCTTAGTTTTTGTATGATGTTGAAGCGACATCTTTTTATGTGAAACTTTCCCTTTTCCTCTCCCTCCCTCCTCCCAGTTCCCTGCCATCCAGTCTACCCACTACTTTGTATATTGGTGTATGTGCTTTTTGTGGTCCTCATTAGAATCTAAGCAAGCTTCTTGTGTGTGGTGATTGTTTCATTATTTGGGTTTTTATCCTACCAGTATAGCACAGTGAAGACAGGATAACAGAATCAGTGTGTTCCACACCTGTTCCCATCTCTTCCCCTGCCCAAATACCTGGTTTTGAATCCTGATTCTTTTTACTTGTCATTTGTATGTCCAAGTTTTACAGAACAAATCCTTTTGTTAAGGAGATTTGTTCTGTGAAGTTACGCAAAAGCCTTTCCCTCCTTGGGCCTGGTTTCCTTAAATATAAAATAAAGAAGTTGGACTGGAGGACCTCCTCTATAGAGGCCCTTAAGTTGTATTGCAAATATAATTCATCCTTTCCTTACCAAAAAGATTCTGGAATGTCAGCACTGTTGGGGATCTCTTGTAGTCCACCCTTATTTTATAAAGGGAAACAAGTTACTGAAGATTCAAATTTCATCCATTTCCCTCATGTTTTGCAGAAGCCTTTGTTCCTAAATACAGAAAGCTTACACTGTTCATCCTGCTTTGCTTAGAACTGAAATAATTTTCTTCTCTTTCCAGGCATTCTGGCTGCCTACTATTGATGACTGATCATTTGTCAACAGCGTCTGCACATTGAAGGGCAGCCCATAAGAGGAGGAAAGGGACTGTGTATTGGGATTATGTTGTTCTCCTGACCTGAAGCATCCTTCTACCTAGCCTTTCTCATGGACATCTCAGTTCAGTACATCCTTTAAAAAAAACAAACAAAAAAAACCCCCCACAAACTCCTTTGCTGCATTCCTTCAAAAAGACTCTTGGTGCTGCAGACCTGAAGTTGGATCCAGATTTTCTAGTTGTGGCCTGTATCAAGCTCCTCCTGAGGGTTGAGCTTTGTCAGGCTCATGGGCATCAGTGTGGACCCTTGGCATAGCCTCCTCTTTTTGAATGTATAGGGAGCCTATAAAATCTTGACTCCACATATCTTCTTTCTCTGTCCCCATAAATGCATGGAAATCTAGTTCTGGGTTTGAGGTACTAGTGCAGTTTCCCCTTTTCCCTCTGCATGTGTCATGATTGAATTTTCCCAGTATTGTTGTGGCTTTATTCCATAGCCATCATGTTTCTTCTGTGCCAAAAGTTTAAAAATAATCAGTTCATATGTCCTAGGTACAGAGGGAAGGACAGAGCTATGTAAGGTCTTGGTTTGCAAGGAACTCTGCAGACTATTAGGGTGAGGGTGTTAGGTATGGACTTAGTTGTGTGGCTAACTCAAACCTGGTTCAGTCTGTTTCTCACTGATGTGGAGAGCATAGAGAGGTCAGGGGAATGTGAAGAGGTAACAAATCAAGTGCCTCCAGCAGTCAGGGAGGCTTACCTCCTTAGCAGACAGGGTCCAGCCCTGTGTAAGCAAATGGCAGCTGAGCTGGGATACAGCCAGGTTGTCTCTGTCCGATGATCTTTTGTGTGTACATATTTATGGGGGGTGGGAGCCTATTTTTTTACTTTAGAAATCAATAACTATTTCATGTGGGCCAGTATTGTGGAATGAGTCCAAATTGTTTACACTGATGCTTTCTTTCCTCTACCCTCCTCCCCACCCAAAAAAAAAAAAAATTCTGTAAATAACCTGCAGATAGTCCTACCCCCTTCTCCAGCCACCCAAACCCACAAAGCTGATTCTGGGCTTGTATTTTTGTTAGTGTCTAGCCTTTTTATATGACTTTTCTTATTTTCCATTTCAGCTCTCTGTGTGCACCCTCGTTTTAAAACAAAAAGCTACACATTGTAACATCAGGCTTTAGTACAATAGTCTTGTTCTCTTACCTGACTCTTGGTGTTGTCAGTTCTTTAGCTGGGCCACAGGAGAAATACTCTCATCTTTGAGATGAGGAACAGCCTGCTTTTCTGCCTGAGAGCATTGCCACAGGTGTTAGAAAGTGTTCCCTCTTTTCCTTTTTCCATTTCTTGGAGAACAAGCACGGTTACTGCCTAGCCTGGAGACCATTGATTGGCTCCCTCAGGTGATCACTTGGCAAGCTCATAAGAGCAACTATTCTGTATTTTCCATGTCTTTATAGTGGAAACCTCTCCAGTATTAGTCCCTGTTGTACTTTAGCCCGTTCTGTCTTTGCGCATGTGGTGTGAACAAAAGTCACTCTGCATGATAATGTCTCAGAAATTGTGATTCCCAAACCAGTGGTTTCAGTTTGTAAATAGCCTCTGTGCTAATTATATTGTGCACACTTATGCTTGTATATGTGTTCTTTGCATTCCTTTAGGGGTAAATAAGAAGAGAAAGTTATGTTCCTCCTGTGTTAAGGGGAGTGTTTTTTAAAGTGTAGAAGTATGTGATGGGAAGGCCTGCCCTCCTACCTCTTTAGGGCTAGATGGAAGGGGCACATTTCAGCTGAGAGACATGCATAGGCCATGTGTGTGCACTACACTGGGCAGTGTGGGTGGGCTTTTTAAAAAGCAAATGTGCTGAACTCTTATTGTCCTTGAGTCATCAGGTTTGAGTAGGAAATCAAGGGATGAGGTTAACAGTTCTGGGGTAATGATAATTTATTTGGTTTTATTAACAAGGGAGGTTGCCTCCAACAAGAGATGTGGTTCTTTCCCCTTGCTTCAAATGGTTAGATGAAAGGTGCAGTACAGGGATAACTTTTTTGGGTCATGATGGTGATGTCTCTTTGCTTTGGGGATGGAGAGGACCCCAGTTCATGTCATAGGTATTTGGGAGGTACTAAACAGCAGTAGACTTAGAGCTTTAGGGGAAATTACTGGGTGCCTATGGGATGAGGTATATAGGCCAGGGAAAGCCGAAAGGCTGTGAGTTCTGCATCATTTGTTTCAAAAGAAGTCAGGGGGTGGCATGGGAGGTGGAGTTGAAAGGATTCTCACCAGCTCTTGGTGAGAGTTAGGCCTACCAATCAACTAAATGTCCTTTTTTTGTAAAGGTCAACTCTTCCCACTGAGGAGTATTTATTAATACTCTTGGGGGATATGTTTTTGCTGTCACTAAGGCCCAGCCTAGTGTACCCACCAGCACATCTCTAAGTTGCCCCAAACACCTCACTCTATCCCCCAATTTTTCTTGTGTTCAAAGCTCTTATGAGCCTAAAAACCCTTTTTTATGGCCTCTGGCCCAATCCTAAAAAAGTACTGCTGATCACCTAACCTAAATCTGCCCTCTCCTTTTCAGCTGGTAGATGAGGCCTTAGGCATAATAACTCACTGAGTCTGGAGGAATTTAGGACATAGTTAGAAGGAAGTACCTTCTAGTAATCTACATTTCCCTGGCATTTTGATCTTTGACACTTTTTGTAATGCTAGGAAGGAGGCCAAAGCTGAGTGAAGGGACGAGATAGGTAAAGGCAGACTACTGTGGACTTTGGGTGTACAGAGATATGGATGGTCTTCAGGAGGGTGACCACAATAATAATTGATTGGAACTCATCATTACTGGCTACCTGAGCACCTAGAATGCACTGGTAGAGAAAGTTAAACACAGATAAAAATTTTTCTTCTGTTGAGTTAATTTTACCTTCTCTAAAAAGTTTTTTAAAAATTATTAAAAAGAAAAAGTTTAGCAAAACTGGCCAACATTTCATCTGACAGAATATGCAATGTTCTATACCTATAAGTCTTCTGTGATGACATGGAGAGAGGTGCATTTTTTTTCCGGCTTTTCACTGGGGCTTAGCTTGGTCCATGTATTTACCAATTAAATGGAAATATTTAAAATTATGACATACCTCTCTCCTCCATTTCAAAAGAATCGTGAATGATAGTATAAGTTTTCATTAATGACAGCATTCTCAGGCTTTTTGGCCTCTTCTCCAGCTGTCACTTTTTTTTTTCTTGGTGAGGCTGTTGGGGTTAAGTGACTTGCCCAGAGTCATACAGCTAGTGGGTGTTATATGTCTGAGGCTGGATTTGAACTCGGGTCCTCCTGACTCCAGGGCTGTTGCTCTATCCACTTTACCACCTAGCTGCCCCAAGCTGTCACTTCTTGAAGTGGAGTTTTTCACTTCAAAGGTTGCCTGTAGTAACCCCAAATCTTTTATGGCCAGGTAGACAAAAGACAACCTGTTAGAATTGTTTATAAATTTTCACAGTAGGACTTCTATGAAAAAAAAGGAGCCATTTTTTGTGCATAGAATGTGGGATATCTCAGTAGTCTGCTTCCTGCCAGCCTGGCTCAATGAAGCTCTGGTGGAGGGGCAAGAGCACTGGATTGGGAGGCGAGTTAAAATGGCGGTCTGCAAGGAGTCTTCCATTCCCAACATTCTGTAATACCGGTGAGGTTTCTGGATAAGCATTCTGGTGCATGTTAACAGGGTCAAGCATTCCCCTCTGACTCTCCAGCAACTCTGGCCAGGCTAGAAGACTTCACGAAGACAAAACACAAATACGTTTGTGCTACCAGTTAGCATTCTCAGTCCTGGCTGTAATGTAGATGATAATTTAGGTAGCACAGCAAAACCATTCTGGAGCGTTACCCCCCCCCCCCAAATGCTTAGAATTGGGAGGAGCAGGTATATGACCAGGTATATGGATCCTGGGCGCAGAAGGAAACGCTTTTCTCAGCAGAAGCATGATGTTCCCTTAGGGAAAAGGTAACTTTCCATCCTCTCCCAAAGTTATGTTGGACAAAGCAGGGAAGAAACTTTCTGGAAGCAAAGAATGGCAGGAAGAACCACCCATCCTTTGCCATTCTTGAAAGTCTACAGTCCTTGCTATTTCAGTCCCTGTTTTCTGTAACACTTAGGTAGGGGCTTTAATTGGCAGGAATCATGGAATTACCCTCTCAAGGTAAGCCAGATCTCTCTCTCTCTCAAAGTTTCTTGAACATGCTTCACGGAGTAGATTATCAACAGATGTCCCCTGGGTCCTAGGGAAAGCTTTTGTGTAGCAAGAGCTGGGACATGTCTTTCTAGTTCAGAATGCATTGGTCCTGAGCCTGCTGTGAGTAAATGGGGCACGCGTGAAACCTAAGACAGGTTGGGTTGGACTTAGACCATTCATCCTCATCAGCTCTTCTTGAGATTCCCTTAACTTGGCCTTTTGTCCCAGGTTTCAAGAAGAGGTGGGGCTTAGCTAGTAGTGGAAAGCCTCAGGAATCCTTATTTCTTTTTTGTGTGTGTGTGGTGCAAAGGAATCACAAACACTGAAATGTCATCATAGGACACCAGCACATTGCCTGCTGAGCTCTGTTCCCAGATGCCATCCTCTCTGCCCTGTGTCCTGTGGATCAACAATTTGGCCAGCTCTGAAAACCTGAGGAAGGGAGGACACCAGTGGATCAGTCTCCTTGACTAAGTACCTTCAGGGGGTTGGGGATGAGACGCTATTCTTTATCCTAAAGAAGTAACTGATTTCTATGGTGCTTTCCTAAAGACAATCCAATTTAGTCAAATAGGCCTTACATACAGCCCCATAACCAGTTGTGTTGGAGCTGAGATCTGAATGTATCTGCTGTTTTTGTCCATCTTCACTTCCTATCTGCTACATTCTGCCATAACTCTTCATCCTCTGAATTGACAGAGATAATATTGAAATGTTGGTCATGTGTGTTCCTACAAAAAGTTTCATCTCACACATGCTTTAAAGATTATGGAATACTCATTACAACTGTGAGGTAAACAGTCTGCAGTTCATTCAGCTAGTGTCAACTAGAGTTGGACTTAAATCTTCAGGTCCCAAGTGCTACCCTCTCTTGAGGTATATAGTTGGGTCAGGGCTGAGCAGCTTGGTTTCAGAGTCCTGTCATGTCATTCTCTTCCCCTCCCCCCCCAATTCTCTCCATTATATTCTGCTGCTCATCCCACATTAGAATTACCTGTTGGGGTCATGTCTGTTATCCTGGAGGAAGATGCGTGTTAGCTGGGCTACTTGTTCATTAGACAGGACATCCCAGAGCCCATCAGTGGCCATGATGATCACGTCGTCCTCTTGGGGCTCCTGCTGTTCTAAATCTACTACAGTAACCTGTGGTTAGAACCAAGATCAGATCTTCAGTGTCCTCTTGCCAAATTACCAGGCTCTGCTGGGCCCAGCCACCTGATTCTTCAGGACGTGAGGGTCAGATAGAATCAGAAAGCTTCAGAATGGCAAGGGATAAGGCAGACCACGGAACCCAACACCCTGCTTTTAAAGAGGAAGAAATGAGTTTTCAGGGGTGGGGGAAGGAAGAAGTGTCCAGGGTCTCCTGCTTCCATGCCAGTGTTTTTTCACCTAGAGAGGTGGCATGATAGAATGGAAAGTTACCCTCGCTCTAAAGTCAAAGGACTTCAAAGCTTGCCTCTGACATAATACTAGCTGTGTGAACTGTGTGTCTCAGTTTCTTCAATTGTAAAATGAAGGGGTCTGCATTGTGAATTGATGGCCTCTGGATCCCCTTTCAGCCCAAGATCTAAGAATCTATGGCACACTGAGGCCCCTAGGAAACAAAGGGGTTAGAGGGCAGAGTATGTGGGTAGTAGCCAGTGAGACTAATCAGTATTTCATTACTTCAAGGACCTGTAATTGTGTCAATGCAGGTTGCTATCCCTTTGAACTTTTTCTGTGGCTGAAAAAATTCATCACTGCTACCAAACAGGGGCTAAGTCTCTCTCAGACTTGTTTGGGTCTTGATACTGAAAACATCTGGGGCCTGGAAAGGTTATGTGAGAGCTTGGGGCCCCTAAACAAGGCCATAAGAGCCCAAGGTCGCTCCCACCATTGAGATCAGGAAGGGCTTTAGTTGAGATGTGCAGTGTAAGTTGCAATTATGCGGTTGCCTCACATGTCAGAGGCTGGGCCTGGGCTTCAGGCCATGATGAGTCCCTTCCTCACCTCAGGAATAGAGAGAAGAAAGGGCTTGATGTTGATATCTGAGTCCAGGACCTTCAGCTGATGGTCTCCCAGTCCTCTGGACACAGCCAGAGTACCCAGCAAACGAGCCTGGTGGGAGACAGGACATGGGAACACATCAGGTGCTCGGGCTCATAGTGACCATCTGGTACCTCAGTGGTAACCCCCACAGGAAGGAAAATTAGGCAGCTAGAGAGACTGAGAAGCAGCAGGCTTATCCTGTGAGATTACTAAGGAGGACTCTATTAGGTTCCTTTGGGAGAGAGGGAGAGGGAGGCTGGCCCTGATATAGTGATGGTTCCTGCCCTTGGCAAGGCCCCCTTGTCCTGGCCCACCCCTATCCACCAGCCAAGGTCATGAGTGCCTATTAGACGCTGAATAATGACTTCAAACACCGGTGGGATTAACTAGAGAAAACTGGGGCAGGAGGGAGTGTGAGAATCACTGACCTGCTTGCCCTGTCCGTGAACCAGTGGGTATTTGAGGTCTGATTTCTCCACTTGTTTGTAGCCCCTGAGAGAAAGACAGGGTCATAACCTCTCCAAGAACCCCCATGGTTAGGTCCCTGAACAGCTCCTTGGTCAGAGCAAGAGTGAGAAGAAACAACTTCCTTCCTGTACTCACTCACCAGCCATTCATGTTATAGTCTCGAAATAGGACTTTCTGTCCCAAGTCTTCACTTTTCAGGCGCCGGGGAAACTCCAGCCGGGTAAACTCGTTAGCCAGAAGCCTGGGATGAATGAAGGCCTGAAGGCCAAGAGCAGACTCTCAGTGTGGGACCCTTGCTTCCAAGGTTCTCCTCTGGCTTCTCATGTCCCTCTCCCTGCAATAGCCCACCCTTCTGCCTGGTAGGCTCAGGAATTCAAGTCATTCTGGCTTCTACGATCTACCTGACCACCTCCCAGGAGCTTACCAAGTGCTGAATTCGCTGTCTCTCTGTCTCTGGGGTGAACTCGGAGCTCAGAGCTCTCATGCTGTCTCTCTGTACAAGTATGGCTCTGGGAAAGAAATTCAGAGTGAGCATGGTGTGAATCACGGAGTCTGAGCCTTATCCTCCTTCAGCTGGGCTTTTTGGACAGCTTCTTAATGGATCACCATTCTCCAATGACTACATCCTTCTACATGGATATGTCTAAAGCTCAGTTCTGCCCAGGTCTACCCCTTACTTGCTTGTGTGACCCTGGACAAATTACTTAGCCTCTCTAGGCCTGTTTCCTCATCTGTAAAGTAGACTGATGTCCTTTCCAATTCTAAAGCTAGGATCTCTGTGATCATCATAATTGTAGCCTGCCTCTCTAGCCCAGTCTTTCACTGCTCTCCTACTCAAAACTCTGCTCTCACCTCTTTCCTCATCCATTCATTCCTATTGCTCTTCTTGCCTCTCTGGCTAACCTGAGCCATCCTTGGAATTTTAGGAAGCTACAGCTGAAAGGAATCTCCAAGATCACCTAATTCAAACCCTTTTCCAAAGAATGAAAAAGGCCCAGAGAGGGCAAGGAATTTTTCCAGCATCACACAGTAAGTCATAAGCCAAGAGCCAGGACCAGAACTGAGAACCCAGATATCTGGACGACCAGGCCCAGGGCTCTTCTACCTAAACCTCAACACCGCCTCTGAGAGTGAGAGGTAGAAGGAAGGTGTAGAAGACAAGTCCTTAAAGTCTGCCTTTGGGAGTTCCCAGTCTAGTTGGTGCAGATAAGACACAGGCACAGCTAGGCCAGAAAGAGAAATTTGGTAAGTATACAGAAGACATGTATAAAGTGAGTGTTCAACAGGAGGGGGAGATCCCTACTTCATCTTACAGGTGGGGAAATTTCTGTACTAGAACCCAAATCTCCTGAATTAAGAGTCCCTGGCTTTACCATGTTGTTGTGAACAATAATTAATTATGATAAGTATTTGATATTCGTTAATAGTTAATATTTTCTAATAGTATGTTTTAACACACATGAAGTTATTAATAATAACACTTTGCTATAGTACTGTCAGTTTTACAAAGAACACTTTCCTTACGACAGTGATATTTAGTAGGGAGTTACAAGAATTATCAATCATTTTATAGAAGTAATTGAGACTTAACATTGTCACCTACCTTGCTGCTGTAAGTCAGGAATTGTTTTTTGTTTTTGTTTTCTTGGTGAGGCAGTTGGGGTTAAGTAACTTGCCCAGAGTCACACAACATAGCTAGTGTGTGTTAGTATCTGAGGCCAAATTTGAACTCAGGGCTGGTGCTCTATCTACTGTGCCACCAAGCTGCCCTATCAGTACTAGAATTTGAACCCAGGTCTCCAGGCACCAAGAGTTCTATCTGCTATTATGCTGCTTCTCAAAGCCCTGTTCAGATGCTCCCAAGCCACAGTGGTAGGCTCTTTTTTTTTTTTAAGTTCATATATTTACCAGGTTCTCTTTTGACCTAGAGCTGTATCTGTGACTTACTTGCCCTAACTGGATTGGGAGTGCTATGAAGGAAAGGATGTGGATACTGTCTCCCTGATTATTGAATCCCCAAGGTCATTTTTCTAACCCTCTTGTTTGTGTACAGAGAAGGCAACTGACACTCAGGAAGGGGAAGTCCACCCACCCACCCCTCCTTGAGGCACTGGTCCAGGGGGCCCACATCTGAGATCCAGTATAGGCCAGGACCCAGACAGTGCTTGGCATTCACCTGCTATCCCCAGCATTGGCAACATAAAGCTTCCCCTCCAGGTAGAGGATGGCCAGAGCTGTGCAGCCCCCAAACTGGCCAGTGGCTGTCATCTCCTGCCCAATCATTGTGTCCTGTTGACATAAATCCAACCCCCACCCCCAGATTTCATCAGGCAGCTGTCCCATGAGAGGAGACCCAGCAGCCACTGAGGAGACTTCAAGAGTAGAGACCTAACCCCCACCCCGAGTTCCATACCCTCCCTACCCAGTCCCCCAATCAACTTTCCATCATCCACCTAGGGAGGGGCTTCTTTATGTGCTCTCCCTGAGAGCACATAAAAGTACCTCTCTAGCACCATTGGGTGTGCTTAGGAACAGGGATTCACTCTATCCCCTCCCACAGTTCTCCAATCCTATTCCTGCCTTCTCCTCTGTGTGCCCCAACCCAAGCTTCCTCCCCAGCTCTGGTCTCAGACTCACACATTCCTGGAAAGCCTTCTCAATGGCTCCAATCACCAGATCTTGTGCCTGGATTCCTTTCTCCTCCACAAACATGGGATCACTGGAGCAGATGCAGCAGCCACTGAGATGCATAGGGGGCTGGGGGTGCCAGGATGCCCTCCACTACATCCTCCAGCTTTGCCCTCAAGCAGCTGTGCAAGACATTGGAGGCGATGACTGCAGCAGCAGGACCCCCATGACCATCAAACAGCGCCCAGTAACAGCCAGGAACATACTGTGCCAAGAAAGCAGATGTTAAGTTTCGGCAGTTATTTGCCTGAAGCCTAGCTCCTTCCCCAACTTCATACGTGTGGGCAAGGACCTAGCCTTCCAGGCATAGGCCTGCCCAGTCCCAGACCCCAGCCTGGCCCCTCACCTCCTCCTGGCACAGGATCATCCACTCCTGGTCTTCATTGTCCCCTAATTCCCTATGCTTGATGGACAGCTGACCGCATGCTGCCTGGTCTTCATTGAACTCAGACTTCTCTGCATTAATGACCCTGCAGCCACAGAATTGTGGTTCAGGCCCCACTCCAAAAAATGTCCTGAAGAGTCTATAGGCTCAGATAAGGGTTAGGTAGCTGGAGGTGGGGCCCCCTCCCCATGCTGAGTCCACAAGCTCTTCTCTGGACAAAGGGCTCCATCAGCTGAACCAACCAATCTAATCTCACTCAGCCCCACACAGCCAAAAAGAGAAAAAGAGGCCACCAAGAATATAATGGTATGAGTCAGCTATTATTAATTCCAGCTGCTATAGCACTTCAAAGTTTACAAAAGTACCTTCCTCACAGTACCTTGTGAAGTAGGTAATGACAGTCATTCCCATTTTACAGATGAATCCCCACTTGACTACCTTAGTGTTAATGTTCATGCTTCCCTCTCCCTCACATGAGGTATAGATGATATAATTCCCAAGTTACCAGGTCAAGTCAACATATACAGCGATGTAAACCAAAAAAAAGGCCAAGTTCTGGAAGGTCCCAGATGCCAGATAATAAAACATTCCCTAACCTTCACCATAACCAGGGAAGTAAGGTCCTCCTGGGACAGAGCATGCATACAGGTCAGGTTCACCAGATGGTTTTTGCTTAATTGTTTTTCTTTGTTAAAAGGGAGGTTCAGTCTGAAGGGAGTGGGGGTTAAATGGTTAGGATATAAAGACATCAATAAAATATATTTTTAAAATGTTTCAATGGCTTCCTACTCCATTTGCCATTCAAGGTCCTCAGATGTTCTTTATCTCGTGCCTTCTCTACCTAATTTAGGCTCTCACCAAATTAGAAAAATCTTTGCTCCAAACATGCCCTGGAATTGCCTTCCTCACGAACTTTACATTTCTATACTTTTTTTTTCTTTTTTGGTTAGGCAATCTGGGGTTAAGTGACTTGCCTAGGGTCACACAGCCAGCAAGTACCAAGTGTCTGAGGCCACATTTGAACCCAGGTCTTCCGACTCCAAGGCCAGAGCTCTATCCACTTTGCCACCTAGCTGCCCCTGTACGTTCTTTAAAACCCAATTCAAAGGCCACCACTTCCAGGAAGCCGCTTCAGATCCTCCTTTCTAGAAAGGACCTTCTATTTTGATTGTAATTCTCTGATCTAATATTGTTTTATGATTACATATGTGATGTCTTGGCCAACTTCTAAACTATAAGCTACTGGAAGGCAAGATCTTATCTGTCTAAGCTCTATATGCTGGTGGCCTTCAAAAATGTTGCTTTCTTTTCTGCTTACCAGCTTTGTGACCTCTGGCAAGTTACTTAACCTCTCTGGCTCTGTGTCTTCATCTCTAGCCACCAGATTGTCTTTGAGATCCCCTCAGCTCAAAATTCTTCTTATCCTATGAAGTGACTCACCCAAGGTTAGCTCTGACCGTCACATGTCAGCCCTCCTGTGAGCCCGATTTCGGGTCTAGGGCTTTTTCCACACACTAACACTGAAGTCACCAACACAGATTCAAAGACAGTCTCCCAGTCTACGAGTACCCTGCGAATTTACTGAAAGAGGAACCGTTATGCTTGGGAGAGCTCAGGCTCACACTTAACACCCACACCTTCCCCAGCAAAACACAATCAGGCCACCTGAGAACTAGACTGAGCCCCTTCCCCTTCCTCCGCAGGGCAAACACTTCTTCCTCTTGTTGAAGTCTTTTCCTCTTTCTCCCATCCCCTTTTTCAATCGCAGCCCCAGGTATCAGGGTAGTCTGTCCCTAGAACAAAACGCCCCTAATTCCCGACCCCAGGTTACAGTGGGGGGGTCAGAGAGGTCCACAAGGGGTCAGGGTAGGTAAAGTGGTCCCAGAGGTACGTTCCGTCTGGTTCTTGTGCTGTCTCCCCAAAGTAGTGGGGTCAGAATCTTCCCCTCCCTGGTATTTTAGACAGACACACAGACAGACACACACACACACACACATTGCCCCAAGTCAGCCTCTAACCCATACCTCCTTCAGGCCCGAGATGTGGAAGGGAAGAAGCTCGTTTCACAAACGGATGTAACGAAGGGGAAGGGGAGAAGGAGAGAGGGAAAGGGCTCGGAGGCAGGGGGATTTCGAGTGTGAAGAGAAGAGAGGCTAGGGTGGGGGAGAGCCCAGAGCTGGGGAGAGGCTGGAGGGGAAGGTCGCTCACTCACTCGGCGTAGCCCGCGTTCCAAGGCAGGGACCGGTCCGGGGCCGGACAGTACACTGGCCTGGGACGGGTCTGAGGATCTAGGTAAGGGTCAGGCCAGGGAGCTGGGCTGACACCTCGCAGGAACTTGGGCCGCCGATATGGGAGCGGACTAGCCGGCTCGGCTCTGCCACAGGCTTGGGGCCCCCGGCTCCCGACAGTGTCCCCGAGGCCGGTTCCCCATCCCCTTGCCTTGGATTGGCCCCGGCCGCAAGAGGGGACCCGGTGCAGGAAGCGGCGCCGCCACCATTGCGTGGACATGGGCTCGGAGGCAGGGGCCAGCCCACGCTGGGCCCTCATCCACGGCCTCGTCGGGGCTCTGACAGACGGCGTCCCTAGAGCGGGAGACTCGTGCCCCGCCGTGGCCCGCAGGGATCTCGGACACCCTGCTCGCGGAGAAGTTGCGAAGCAGCCCCCGTCCTCCTGATTAGACCTGGGCAGGCGGACCTCGGAGTTCCGAGCGCGGAGTCTGGGGGCAGGAAAAGGTGGGGCGAGGCGGGGAGGAGGGACCAGAGCCGGGCTGGCGGGACAGGGGGAGGAGGAAGCCACACTGGAAGGAGCTTGGTCTTCTTCCTGGAGGGCGGGTCTGTGCAGCCACGAGACCCGAAACTTGGTGTGCTGCACAGAAAGAAATCCTAGGGTATGGAGCCTGAGGCTCCATCGAGTCCCAGTCAGGCTACTTACTAGCTGTGTAATCTTGGAAAAATCCCTAGCGCTTCCTCATCTATCACGTAAGTCTGCAGTTCTCAAAGAGCGGTCCGGGCTTCCCTGTTTTCATAATGCTGAGACGTTTTCATTTCTGATACAGTAAATGTGCGTACATAGAACACACATAAACTAAAGGCCTTGGGGGTGGGGATCCTCAATAATTTTTAAGAGCTTAGGGGGGTCCTGACTGACACCAAGAAAGTTGAGACTCGCTGGCCTGGAAAGGTTCCTCGACTTGTAAATCAGGGGAATGCTGGAGAGAGATTATTTGCCCAGCATTTGTCCAAGTCTCTCATGCAGTTCTTTAGGAGAAGAGAGCTAGATGAGGCAGTGGATGGCGTGCTGAAGGTGGAGTTAGGGAAATCCTGAGTTCAAATCCTAGCTCAGACACTTAATGTCTGTGTGACCCTCTATAACATAGGGGTAATAATAGGACTTGCCTTCCCAGAGCTTTGGGGGAGGATCTAAAGCATTATCATTATGGAAAACACTCTGCCAACCTTGAAGGTTTATCCTCCTCCTCCTCATCATTATCCTCACCATCATGTGGGCTATGTTGGAAGTGTTGTCTGAAATTAGACTTGTTCTCTTCATTTTCCACTCATTTTGGACTTCCTTGGCTTCTCCATCATGCCCTGACTCCAGTACCTTCTCTTCCCATCCCCCTTTTCAGCTTTCTTTTATTTATTAATTTTTTTTTTTGGCTAGGCAATGGGGTTAAGTGACTTGCACAGGGTCACACAGCTAGTAAGTGTTATGTGTCTGAGGGAAGATTTGAACTCAGGTCCTCCCGAATCCAGGGCTGGTGCTCTATCCACTGCGCCACCTAGCGGCCACCTAGCTGTCCCTCAGGGTTTTTTTTATGCATTGTCTTCTCCCATTAGATTGAAAGCTTCTTGAAAGTAAAAACCATCTTTCTTTTTCGTGTTTTGTATCCCTATCTCTTAGCACAGTGCCTGGCATGTAGTAAGTGCTTAATAAATGTTTGCTGACTGTTGACTATCTAGTGCAGAAGGCAGAACAAGAGACAAGTCTTCCTGAAAATTACAAAGAGGCCATTTTTAGGCTTGATATTAGAGAAAACTTGCAACCACTAGAGTGATCTAAAAATAAAACAGGAAGATTGTGGTTTTCTTTTTCTGAGTTCAATTAATAATACTTCAATAAACATTTATTAAGCATCTACTATGTACCAGGCAGGTGGTATTAGTAGATAGAGCACTGGGCTTGAATCAGGAAGACCTGAGTTCAAATTTGGCCTCAGACACTTACTAGCTGTGTTGTATGACCCTGGGCAAGTCACTTAATCCTGTTTGCCTCAGTTTCCTTCCCTGTAAAAGGAAATGGGGAACCACTGCAGTATCTTTGCTAAGAAAACTCCATGGGGGGCAGCTAGGTGGCACAGTGGATAGAGTACTGGGGCCTCAGACACATAACACTTACTAGCTGTGTGACCCTGGGCAAGTCACTTGACCCCATTGCCTAGCCAAAAAAGTAAAAAAAAGAAAACTCCGTGGATGAAAGTCCATGGGGTCACGTAGTCAGACACTATTGAACAACAGGTTCCAGACACTGTGCTAAGCACTGGGAACACAATCTAATGGGAGAAGACAGTACACAACAGAAAGCTGAAGGTGGGGGTGAAGTGGAGAAGCCAAAAATGAGAGCAGCTGGGTGGGAAATGAGGACATTTCTATCCTGTGCACCCTCCTTCTCTACCTTCCACTCAGAGCTGGAAAGGGTATGGAGGAGGGGTTAGAATTAGGGCTGATCCTTTCAAGATTCTGTAAGATCTTGCAGGATGATGGGATTTCCCAATGAAAAAGTATGGGAGAGGGGGAGAGAAGGCACAGCACAGTGGAGAAATAAAAAAGAAGTCTAAAATGAGTGCAGTCAGATGGGAAATGAGGGAGCTTCGATTAAATAAGGTCTTCCATTAAGACCCATGCAATCCCTGGTAAAACATATATAATTGGGGAGATTTTTGTTCAGTTAGGAGTTGGACTAGTTCAGAAGCCTGCTGAGATGGAAATTCTGAGATTCTGGGAAGGCCTGGCTCCAAGGTCTATGATCTGTGAATGAGTGTGTATGTGTGTGTGTGTGTGTGTGTGTGTGTGTGTGTGTGTGCATGCACAGGTGTATCTGTCTTTCTATTGGTCCCTGAGGGGATGTGCCCTATATCATTCATTCAGATTGGCATGTGCACAGCATATGGGGGGCACTGGGGCAAGACACAAAGCTACACAACGCTATACCAGGATCCCTGCTTTCAGAGTCTACAGTGTGGCAGGAGAATACAAAACAATAAAGATACCCCAACAAAGGCATTCTGGGGTGGCTCCCTGGAGGAGCTGGCATTTGAGATGGAGCTGGAAAAAAATAGGCTGGAATTCAATGGATAGAGGTAGGGAAAGAGAAAATTCCAGGTGAAGGAAACAATGAGCAAAGACATGGAGTATGAGGCATCCTCCTTTCTCTCCTCAGGAATTATACAATTTCTTTCTGTTTATAATCTCAAAACACCTCTTGTGGCTTTGGCCCTAAGAGGGAAGGAGTCCGGTGAAGGAGGAGATCTGTGTGGGTGGAGGGTAGGGAGATGCTGGAAGGGCCACTTCTGTGGAATCCTCTGGTTCTTCTACCTCTGCAGGCAATTACATCTTTCCAGCCAGGAAGTCCTTCCTGTTGTCTCCACCAAGCCCTCCTTAGGTACATCCTATATCCATTTCCATTCCTTCTGGCCTTAGTAGAGACCTAACTGCTCCCTTTCTCTGGGGTGGCATTTGAGTGTCTTCTGCATCCTGGAGTGGAGGGTTGATGGTGAGTCTGCAGTGGGCCCGGGACAATTTAGGGGAGTTGAGTGCTAGGGCAGTCCTGGGTTTCATTCTCTCTGTATATCAGGATGGGTGCTCACAGCCAATGTTAGTGACCTCTTAGAGTCCAAGGTTAGGATGCTTCATAAAAAGGGGAAGATGTAGGGGAAATCTTCGGAAAGGGTGTCCTCCTTGACGTCGTTACTGTCCTTAAAGGTTGTGCAAGGGCCTCACAGAACAGAGAGTACTCTGAGATCATCATCTCTGCCTGCCTACCTTCTTCTAACCAATGGCAAGGGAGTGCTACTTGTCTATAACATAACCTCCCTCTGTTCTGCTTCCCCTAGTAGAAAGTAAGCTTCTGGAGGGTAGGGACTGGGGTTTTGTTTGGTCTTTGTATGGTCTCAGTGCCTAGCACAGTGCCTTACACACAGTAGGTCCTCAATCAAAGCTTGTTGAATTTGGTGATCCCTCTCTTTTCCCGCTTCCCACCCCCATGCTGCCATCTAAGATAATGGTTTGCTATTAATTAGTCTGTAATGTCCTTCTCTTATAGACTGCTTATGATATCCCTTCAGCATGGCAGAGTCTGGAGTTGGCCATGTTTCTATAGAGTAGCTCATCCGAAGCGTCTCTCCCCCGCTTCCTCCTTCCTCCCATAGACCGGGGTCCAGCAGAGGTGAACCAGCCCATCAAGTCACACCTCAGGAATATTACCACTCTGAAGAGCTCCCTTTCCAGTCTTTAACCCCTTAGGCCTGACTGTGACCCACAGGCTTCAGAGTGATTATTCCTGGCTGAGCTCAACTAGCTTTTCTGTAGTAACCCATTCTTGGCCCCTAACTTTCCTAGGACTGTTTACATCGTGTCTGATTCCTCATGCCCCTATTAGGGATTTTCTTGGAAGATACTGGAGTGGTTTACCATTTCCTTCTCCAGCTCATTTTACAGATGAGGAAACTGAGGCAAACAGGGTTAAGTGACTTACCCAGGGTCATCCAGCTGTTAAATATCTGAGGCTGGATTTGAGCAAGGTCCTCCTGATTCTAGGCCTCATGCTCTATCCACTTTGCTACCTAGCTGTCCTTAAAAGAAGAATCACATTAAAACAAAGGAGTTTCTAATATTGAGATTTCAGAAAGGAGGACTGGGGAGAGAGGGACAAGATATTTAGATGGAACGGGTGACAGGAGTCAAAGAAATCATTAGACAGTCCAGTCTCACTATACACTAGTGGAGTCACCTGCAAACATAGTGACAAAGCCACTTAAATGAGGCCCTTTAGAGTGGTGGTTCTCAAACATTTTAGCCTCAGAACGACCTTAAAAATTATTGAGCACCCCCACTCCCACCCCAAAAAATTTATCAAGTCTCATCTTGGGGAGGGAGAGAGGAGAAAAATTTTAAACTCAAAAGCTAATGTAAGTGATTGTTGATAAATCAAAATAAATTAATAAAAAATTTTTTAAAAAAGAATTTATCAAGTCTCTTACCTCCATTTTGTCATGGGTTCCTCACAATAGCTCTGGGAGGGAAAGAGGACAGGGCAGAAATTATTATTAACTCCATTTTAAGGAGGTAGAAACTGAGCCTCAGAGAGTTTGGGATGTAGGGCTGAGAATCCTGGACAGGTGGTCAGAAGACTTAGGTTCGAATCCCAGCTATCTCTGACTTGCTGGGTGACCTTGGACAAGTTGCTGCTCCTTTCTGGGCTTCAGTATAGCCCTTTGTAAAAGAAAGGGATTAGAAATAACACAAAGAGAAGACAGTTGAGCTAGAAGAACATGTCAAAGGAAAATGACGGTGTGAAAGGGAAAGAGGAAAATACCAACACAAATCAGGTTCTGGGCCAGAGGAGAGAACAGTAGGGAGCTAGGAGAGGGGAGTCATTGTTTGATTTTTAAAGAGTGTAGATATAAGCTTAATTGATTGTATTATTGTTTAAAACTAAGTTCACAATAAATCATGTGGTACAGTGGGAAAATCATTGGATTTGGAATTAGCAGCTGAGTTCAAATTTCCACTATATTGCTTGCGTGACCTTGTCAAGACTCTTAATTTTTCTGGGTTCCAAATTTCCTCTCTGTAAAATAACAGAGTTGGACCGGATGACTTCAAAGGACCCTTCCAATGTTCTCCTCATTCTCTGTGTCTGTCTCTGTCTGTCTCTCCATATATATATATATATATACACACACACATATATATATATATACACACACACATATATATATGTGTATGTGTGTACGTACATACATACATATACATATACATACATATATATATATACATATACTCACTAGTTGTGTGACCCTGGGCAAGTTACTGAACCTGTTTGCCTCAGTTTCCCCAAATATAAAATGGGGACAATAATAGCACCTACCTCCTAGAGTTGTTGTGAGGATCAGATGAGATAACATTTGTAAAACACTTAGCATGGTTTTTGGCACATAATAAGTGCTATATAGATGCTAGCTATTATTACTATTATTATATGAGCCTGTGATTGAAAGTTCCTTCCTTGCAAAGAAAAAGGAAAGGTCTGGATCAAGTATATGCTGAGTTCCTCCCAGGCACGTGCTCTGGGTACTGATGAATCACCAGCATGATGAGCCCACAAAAGCAGGTGGCAAGGCTACTTCCTGTTCTTGGGTTCCATCTAGAAGAGGCTACCCAAAGGGCCCCAGAGGCCCCAGCTTACTTCCACCTGGGTTCTGTGTTAGCAGTTTGTACTTTGGCAACAGCCAGCTACCCCCTAGAAGGGAGGAGGAAGGGGAGACGGGGAGGCAGAGTATACCTCCTAGAGGAGGAGGAGAGGAGGAGGAGGAGGAGGAAGAAAACCAGATAGCATCAGCCAGACAGTGGGAAGAGCCCTGGGGTTGGAGCTGTGTGACCTTGAGTAAAGTCTCTTTACCTCAGTGAGGCTCGGTTTTCTCATCTGTAAAAAAAGGGGTTTAAGGACAAGATGACCTCTAGGTCTAAATCTGCCCTGAATTTATGATCCATCCCTGTCAGAGTACCTTGGACTAAAGTACTTTGCATAATATGTGTATATGCATACACAAGGGTGTTAGGTGGTGCAGTGGATAGAGTGCTGGGTTTGGAGTCAGGAAGACTCCTCTTCCTGAGACCAAATCTGGCCTCAGACACTGTGTGTCCCGGGCAAGTCACTTAACTCTGTTTTCCTTAGTTTCCTCATCTGTAAAATAGCTGGAGAAGAAATAGCAAAATACTCAAGTATCTTTGCCAAGAAAACCCCAAATGGGGTCACAAGAGTCAGACAGGACTGAAAACAACTGAATAACAACTATATATGTATATGTATATGTATATGTATATGTATATGTATATGTATATGTATATGTATATGTATATGTATATGTATATGTATATGTATATGTATGTATATATACCCATGTATATGTACTTGTTAACTTTACATAAAAGTATATGCTTTTATTGATACTTGTCGTCAAGTATATATTAGAATATAAGCTCTTTTTGAGTAGGGATTGTTTCATTTCTTTGTCCTCATGTCGCAGACACCTAACACTCTACCTGGCATATTAGGTACACAATAGATACTTGTTGAATGAATCATTTAACCTAAATTTGGCTATGAAGGGAAGAGAAAATATCATATCGAAAGAGGAAGAACATGATAGAATGAGAAAGAGACATAGTATCCAGACTGAGTAAGGTGAGGAAGGGCCTACACTCTGTCCTGCTCAGACCCCATCAGAAATATCGTGTCCAGTTCTTCTCCGAACATTTTGAAGACTTTGCATAAGCTGGAGAGTGTCCAGAGAAGGGTGAGCAGGCTCGTAAAGGGCCTTGATCTACTTTTTCTACTTCTACTTTTTAAAAATATATTTTCTTTCTCCCCAATTACATCTTTTAATTTTTTAATATTTGGGTTTTCAAAAGTTTTGAGTTCCAAATTCTATCCCTCTCTCCTTCCCTCTTTTCCCTCCCCTTCCCTGACATGGCAAGTGATTTAATACAAGTTATACATGTAGAATCATGTCAAACACTTCCACATTAGTCATTTTGCACAAGATGTGAACAAAAAAAAAAAGAATGAAAGATAGAAAGTGAAAAACAGCATGTTTCAGTTTGTATTTAGAAGACATCAGTTCTTTCTCTGGAGGCTGATAGCATGCTTCACCATGAGTCTTTTAGGATTGTCTTGGATCATTGAATTGCTGAGAGTAGCTGAGTCATTCACAATTCTTCATCATACAATGTTGCTGTTACTGTGTACAACATTCTCCTGGTTCTGCTCACTTCACTTTGCATTAGTTCATGTAGGTCTTTCCAGATTTTTCTGAAATCGTCCTGCTTGTCATTTCGTATAGCACGATAATATTCCATCACCATCATATATCACAGCTCATTCAGTCGTTCCTCAATTGGTGGGCATCTACTTCTATTTTTCATCTCTCAAACACTCAACCTCTTTGAATCTTTCTTCTCGTCTTCTCCCGCCTCCCATCCCACTACCATTGCTCCCTTTAAGATTATCAATGACCTCTACTCACCAAACCCGACGCTTTTCTCAGGCCTGATTCTTCTCCACAGCTTTTGATAAGCGTGAATGAATATTCTCCCCACCATTGGCTTCAGAGATACCGTTCTGCCTCTCAACTCTTAGGTATTAATTTTTCTCAAGGCCTAGTCCCAAGTGCTAGGGTTGTAGTTTGTCCTTTGAGGACCAAGACATCAGGAAGACGGTGCCATGACTTTCAAGTGAATTGGATTTAAGCGACGGAGGGCTGTGCAAAGTCACCAGCCTCACTTTCTCCTCCGGAGCCATCTGGGTCCAGTGGCCAGATACAGACCGGGAGATGACTGGAGATGGCCCTGCTCCCAAGTGCTACACTATCTGTGTGACCCTGGGAGAGGCCCTTATCTAAATCTTAGTTTCCTTATCTGTCAATAGTCTTTGTATTTCATATCTTAATAATCTTATTGTGGGCAGACTACTTTATTAGTAATCTATTTTTATTATTTATTTATTTATTAGTAATAGCCAGTGTGTGAGAGAGACTGAGGTGGGGGTAGCGATAGAGGAGACCTGCTGGTTGGGAGTCAGGAGCCTGCCATTCTAGGGATTTTCATGTTCCACTTTAGCACTTTATTTTTTGAATTAAGTGTGACTATTGATGGGTGCTCAGAAAAGAGTAATTTTTTTTCTTTTTTAAAATATTTATTCATTTGTAGATTACTTCCTCATTTTAAACAGAACTAGACCGTTTTTTACAAAATTAGGAGGAATGTGATTTCTTCCAACCACTGTTAGGCTTAATAAACGGCAGTAAATCTGAAAAGGACATCATTTCTGTCACAAATATTCAGAAATTTTCAGTTAAGCTATGGTAAAGCATCTTGCTCAGTAACCAAGAACTTCACGAAACCAAACTATAAACATAAATAAAATCTTTTTCTATATTTCATACCGTCTAGATGAAAAACCCCGGGAAATGGTAATTAAGGTGGAATAGTAGATATATTCACTGCATATGGAGTCCAAGGATTTGGGTTTTAACCGTGTCCCTAGTACTTGCTACCTGTTTTGTGAAGTTGGGGAATTCATCTCCTTGTCTGTAAAATTCTCTAGATCCTCCCTAGGATCTAAGGTTTCTTCCCTTTACTGCCCCTGGGGCTGAGCTGGCCCAACTGGGTCAAAGATTTAGGCCATGGAGTCTAACCACTTCCTTTAACAAATGAGAAAAAGGAAGCCCAGAGTGATTCAGCAGCTGACCCAGGTTCACACAGCTAATATGAGTTTAAAGTAGGATTTGAACCCAGGTCTTTCTGACTCCAAGCACAGTTGCCTCTCCACTATATGTGGATAGATTGTACTTTATCCACACTGCCTCTTTCTTTGGCAGGTGAACTGAGTGTAATATCACTTAGGGAACCATCTCTAGCCAGCCTCACATCAGACCAAATTTCATATCCCATCCAGCCATCCACCAAAATCATCTAGTCATCAGCTTTGTCACTAGATGCATGCAGCCCTTCTGTCCCCTTACCTTCATTTCATGCTTTGGACATAGTAATCAAATCAATACTATCATTGCTCCTGGGAAGGGGAATGTCAGTCAACTCCCCAGTGGATTAGTTTAGCATCCCAGTGACTCTCCGGACCAAAGCTTCCTTACCTAATCACCACTCCCCTGTATGTCATCTTCTGTTAGAAAGTAAACTTCTTGACTGCAGAGACTAACTTACTTGGCACATAGCACTTAAGAAATGCTTTTTCATTCATTCATTTATTCACTCACTCATTCATCCTTCCATCCAGCTACCCATTACAGCTATCCAGCTGTAAGTTTTATGATAATCTGGACCTTGGGGCCTGGCATGGAGGCAGGGTTGATGGAGAGTAAGGGAGTTTAGGGAGTAGAGTCACCACAGCTGGGAGAAGTTCGACTTCTGGCCAGGTTCTGAAAGATATCACCGAGCTGTTAACACTAAGGTAGGCTCTTAGCAGGGTAAGGTGGAAGCTCCCGGTTTTCTCTCTTTGCCAAGCTCTGCTGCTCATGGCATCTTCCTCCGCTAGGTGGACTCCTTGCCCTTTCAGCCGGGCGGGGAGGACACAGTAGGAGCCCCGGAGCAGCCCCTCCCCCGCCCCCGACGAGCTTCTAGTGCAAGCCTCCACCTTCACCTGCACACCCTCATCTGCATCCGCCTCTCCTGATCCCGCCCCACCACGCCGGTCGGAGCCCCAGGGAGGGAAGTTGTCTGGGGGAGGGGATTCTGGAGCTCCACCCCAGGCTGGCCCCCCGAGGGGCAGGATGGGGCGGGGCCTCGAGGGGGAGGGGGCGGGAGTTACTGCGGCACCGCCCGGGAAGCTTCGAGTGCCACATCCTCTTGCTGCTGCTGGTCCTGCTGCTGGGACTGCTGGGGCTGCTTCTGCTGCTTCTGCGCCCGCTGCTGCTGCTGCTGCTATCGCTGCTATTGCTGTTGCTGAGGAGCTCGACGGAGCTGGGCCGGCCCGCGGCCATGGCCCATCAGACTGGCATTCACGGTGAGCGAGGGCACTGGGGCCCAGCGGGGGATGGTCCAGATGGTGCCCCCCCACCCCCAGCCCAGGGGGCGGGAGGAGCCGCCTCCTTCACCAGCTGCAGCCCGGGCTCCCTTCTCCCCCGCCAGCGACCCCACCCCCACGTCCCTAGTCCGCCTTCCATCTTCTCTTCTAACGATCATCTTCCCCCACCCTTCGCTTCCTTCCCAGCAACTGGGGCCCACGCCCCGGAAGCCTTGGTTGCACCAGTCGGGCTCTGGGATAGATGCACATGCATCTGTTTATGTGTATGTGCATGCACCCATACATGTGTGCACGCATGTGTATGCAATGTATGTGAGCGAGTGTATGCCTTACATGTTGTCTGCTCTGCATGCATCCTGTAATAATAACTGCACCCGTTTCTGTACTGCCTTGAGGCTTACAAAGGGTTTCCCTCACACCGACCCCTTGAGGTTTCTGTTCATATGTGTAATTGTATGTGTGTATGTGCTCTCTGCGTCACTAGGGGCATTTGCACATACGTGTGTGTTTGTGGGTGTACAGTGGTGTCTGGATGCACTGTGATCAAACGTAGCCTATACTTTGATTATTTGTGCACGTGGGTGTACCCAGTGTTTCTGTGCTGCTGAGGAGTACCTCTTGAAGGAATTGTCCCTACCTAACCCTTTTCCCTACCCCTTTTCCTTGACCCAGCCTTATCTGAGGACTGGACACTATACATCTCTTGTACCCTCTGGGAAACTGAGTGACCCATAGACTCTAGAGGCTGACCTTTGGAGATATTACCCAAAGTCAGCCTCTCCCCGAGACAGGAAGAAGGAAGAAAGGACCCAAGGCCACTATGAGCCTTTCTAGGGCTGTTTCTTCCTCTAAAGTGGCTGAATCTGGGCTGGGGAGGAGCAGTTGTGCCCAGTAGCAAACCAAACTGGTCTGGCTGGAAGAGACATAGAAGCCTGAAGCTGGGTGATCTTAGAGCCCTAGAGATGATAGGGGCGGAGAGAACAGAGGATCACAGTCTCAAAGCTGGAAGGAACTAGTCCAACTCCGTCATGTTACAAGTGGGAAAACAGACTCCGATTGGTGTTGGGAGTAAGTGACAGGGTCAAGACTCCGTTCACCCCTACCAGCTCACATCTAATGGATGGGCCCTCAATGAGCATCTTTCCTTTTCTTGACCCCAGTTCTTCCATCAATAAAACGAGAGGGTTAAGCTAGATTAGGGTTTCTTAATTTAGGGGTTTCTGATTTCAGGGGGGTCCATTAACTTTATGTTAGTTATTTTAGTTTATTAGACCTTTATTTCAATATGATTGGTTTCTATTGTGATACTATATATCTTATACATTTAAATGCATTATTTTGAGAAGGGGTCCACTGGCTTCACTAGACTGCCAAAGGTATCCACAACACAAGAAAAGGTTAAGGGTCTCTGGACTGGATAAAACCCTTCTTCAGTGTGGTATAATGGAAAGTACCTTTTAGATTTAGGTTTACAGGCCTTGATTTTAAGTCCTGGTTCTGCTTTTGAGTGCCTCTGTGACCCATGCGCAAAGTCCCTTTACTTCTCTGGGTCTGCTTCTTGATCTGTAAAATGAGAGGATTGAAGTAGATCAGGTCTGGAGGGTCCTTCCAGCCCCTAATCTAGGAGTTTGTGATAATTCTCTGGACCTCTGTTTCCTTCTCTGTCAGATGAGAGTGCTGAATCAGATGGTGTCTGAGGTCCTGTTCAGCTCTGATGTTGTGGTTTTTCCAACTGGTACATATACCTTTGGTATCCTCTAGATTTAGACCTTAAGTTCATTGTAGAAGTTACGGAGTGAGGCTTCAGTTCAGCGGCAAATGAGCTGAGAGATGGCTAGGTTATTTGGAGATTTCTCACTGAAGTCACCACTTCTTCCATCCTACTGGTTCTCTGGGATCTTTAGGAATGGTAGAGGAGGCCTTGTTGGTGGGAGTCTTGGGGATGTGCTGGAGGCTAGGAGCCTGAATAGTGTTTAACAATACCTCCTTCAGTTATCTGACTTCAAAATCTAGGTCAGATCATGCCTGCCTGTCTGGGCTTCCTGTAGGGGTTCCTACCACGGACCCCCCTGCTGTGGGCTGTCAAACTGTATTAGGTTCATGATAGGGCTGTATCTGGGTCTAGCCTCACTGGCACCCATGGGCAGCATGTCTGGGGTCGATGGGAGAGTAGGGTTGGCCCCACCCTCGAAGGGGTGGCCATCCTCATACCTTCTATGAGTAAAGGCAGCTTTTGTCCTCTGGCTCCCTAGGCTGACCGCTCAGCCCTCGGACCATACAGTTCATGACCCCTTCTCCCCATGCCACCTTGGAAGCCCCATGACCAGAGAGTGTGACAGGCCTCCCAGTCAAACCTTAGTCTCCTAGACCCAGCTATCTCCAGCTGAGGATGATTCAGGCCCCTCTGCATGAGGTCCTGGGTCCCTCTCAGATCCCTTCCTCTCGTCCTGCCGGCTGAGGCTTTGAACACTGGGGCTGGAGCTTGGGGAACATCCCTGAACTCTCAGGCCTGCCCTCTGTCCTTCTCCATGGCTCAGAACTGAGGGAGGTGAGGGCAACCCTCGCAGTCTGCTCTCTTCTGGTTCAAGCTGGGGAAAGGGGGTGGGTGATTCAGGCTTTTGGAGCTGCGTCGCCTCCAGACAGGACCAGGGAGGCAGAGATGTGGAGAGGTGCCCATATCCCAGCAGCCTCAGGGGCATCCTTTCTTCCTCCCCCTCTTCCCATTTCTTCTTTCTGCAGAAAGTTGGCCTTCTGTGGCACTGTGGCACAGTCTGCTCTTACCCCAGTTGCCTCCTGACTCAAATCTTGGACCTTCCTCTCTTTCCCTCCTCCCCTCTAGGCCCTAGATCTTCCTTTCCCATTCCTTCCTCCACCCTCATTCCTTCCTAGTCACATCAGTGACTGAGAGAAGATCTGTGCATCCCTGAGCTAGAGCTGTCTGAGGGATGGGCAGACTCAGGCCTCCCAGCTTAGGGTCTTAGCTCCCAAACTTGTACTCATCAGGGGAAATTGTCATGGATGCCACAGAATATCAGAGCTTGGAAAGAAATTGTAGAGGCAATCCAATCCAACTCTCCCCTCCGCCATCTTATATATGAGGAAATTAAAGTTTAGAGAGGGGAAGGTTCACAGTGAGTTAGTGTCAGGGACAGACCCGGGACCTAGCTCTCCTATGATAAACTTCCTCCTCTAGGGACTTTGGAGAGAGGAAATAACCTGGGTTGTGGGGATGAGGAAATCATGTTACCTTGGCTATCTCTTGGCCTCCTTCCCTTACCTCTTTCTTCCTCCCTCCCCCCAGTTCTGGGCTTTTCATCTCCTCTTCCCAACTCTTTGCCTGTCCCCCATCTAGTCTTTAATATTTCTATCCCTTCCCATGCTCCAGCCCCTTCCTCCATCATTCCTTGCCCCCCTCCCAATTAGGCCCACCAGCCTCTGAGCTGCCTTCAGGCTGATCCTTTGTGGGTCCCCTCCCGGTGGAAGGAGTTGAGCCTGTAACCCAAGGAAGCTGTGCTGGGGCTTGGGGAGGGGCCCCATGAAACATTTATGGGGAAGGCTTAGCTCAGCTCAGCTTTGCTCAGCTCCAGTGTCCTAGGCTGGACCTGGATTATTGATGGGGACTGACTGACTGGTGGGACAGACCAGTAGGGGGAAGGGAACGAGATCAGTAGGCTGAGAATGGGGTAGGGTTGGGGAGGCCAAAAGAAAAGGAAATGCTGAGAAGGCAATGGATTGGAAATTTATCAATAAGTCTATCAATGAGCATTTATTAAAGTGCTTATGTTCTAGGCACTGAGCCAGGATCCGGTGGGGTAGGAATTAGGGATCCAAAAAGAGTGGAGGAAAGGATTGGGGAGGCAGCAGCTTAGAGATGAGAGGGCATGGGGACCAGAGGAAAGGGAGTGGATGTCAGCGGAATCAGGATTGGAGAAGTGGGGGAAGCAGAAGAAGGGGGATTTCATGGAGATGGAGATTGGGAGGGCTGTGAGATTGAGGCAAGGTGGGGTATGAGAGACTGGGAGGTCAGAAGATTGGGGCTCAGTGAGCTAGGGGTTAGGGAGTCTAGGAGCCTCGTGGAATGAATTTGGAGTCTGGGAGGAGGTAGGGTCTGTAAATTTGGGGTAGGTTACTGGGGAGGCCAGAAGAGTGGGAGGGGCCGTGGATCAGGGTTGGGGACAGAACCAGGAAGACCTTGGGAATCAGTCACGGAGCCAATGAGCAGGATGGGGCTTCAGGGTCAGCAGGCTGAGGATCAGGGAGGCCAATGGAATTGGAAGGCTGGGAAGACCAGAAGGAAGGGAAATTGGCAGGACATCAGTTCTTGTTCTGAGTGACAGGGACTTTTTCCCTGGCTCTCATGGCACAGAGCTTACGGTTACTTTCTCCTCCCTGGAGAGAAGAGGGATACCTTTTTCCCCTCAGCCTCTTTATTCCCTCTTCCCCCAAAGTTCTGTTAGGATTATGATGACAGTGAATTGCTAATCCTAGGGGTCATCTAATACAATCCACTTATTTTACAGATGAGGAAACTGAGGCCCAGAGAAGGGAAGTGAGATAGGGATTTGAACCGAGGTCCTTTGGCTACACATTTTGTATTCTTTCCGCAAGATGGTAGGAGCGGCCTTCCATTGCCCTGTGGATGGGAAGAGTTGGGAGCCATTCCCCGGCTTTCTTCTGTAGCACCAGCGAGGCTCCAGATAGAATATAGAGGATGGGGTTGGCCAGGACCCCTTACAGGTAGGGTTACTAGAAACCAGTCTGGAGGAGCTCCAGTGCCCTGCCCCTCCCCCCACTTTGGAATGGGATTGGGGGTCAGGGACCTGGGCGTGTGCCTCTAGCCTTGTTTATACACCAGAGGGCTGGCTCCTCGCCTGAGTATAAAAATACCATTGACCTCAGCCCAAAACTGTGTGTACAACATCGCACAGCCTGTTACGTTCCCACTGCATCCCAAGGACCCAAGGTCAAGAGATCTCAGCTCCTGACTTGTGGAAGCACGGACCTCTCTGATAATCTTTAGAGAGGTCATTGAGGTCATCTCATTTATCCCCCTGCCCCCTTCCCTCCATCCTCTTCTGTCCTCTGCCCCTGCCTCCCTTCATGCCCCCCACTCACCATTTTTCCAGGATGAGAAGTCCTAGCTCAGTTTACCTGCTTCTTCCCACTGCACTCCCTCCTGGCCTCCCCACGGCTGGTTCTCTGCTGTCAAGGGCCTGGCATTAGCCAGGGTCTGTCCTTCCTGAAGCTGCTGTGGCACATGGCACATTCTCAGAAAGCCTGTGGAAGGAAGGCCTTCCCTGTCCCCTGCTCTCAGATCCCCAGACTGCCGGCCTTCCCTTGCACAGCTTCTGAAGTGCTCCCCTCTTCCAGGCAGCCAGCCCTGACTACCTGGAGGGAGGAAGCAGCTCTCTCTCCCCCGTCGACCTCAAGATCCCTCTGACACTGGAGCTTCTTTGGGGCTGGGCCATTTCTCTGAGCCTCTGGCTTGGTGTGGGCAGCATTTGACATCCTGGCAGTGCCCAGAGGGCAGGCACCTTGGCCAACAGGCTCTGTGTGCTGCCAGCTTCATAGCTGCACTCCATTGGTGATGAGGTTGGACATGCTTGAAGGGCTGTGAGCATGCAACAGTGTTGGTGTGCGTTGGAATGTACCTACATCCGTGTCATTACAGGGGTGCACATAGGTAGCTGCATACCTGTGTATTCATGCTTGTCCTCTATCGCACTTGCAATGTCATGCATGCACAATGCATGCACGAGTATATTGCATGTGAGCATGCATGTGTAAATGAATGCATAAATGTGTATGCACACATATATGCATACTGGTGTGCACTATATATGTACCCACGTGCATCTGTTTGCATGAGTCATTTATGTAATTATGTGTACATGTGTGTGAATGAGTAAGCGTGATCTTGGATTGTAGAATGACTAACCTCTTTTCTCTCTTCTAAGAAGTGCTTATTGGGAAGGGGGCGGGCCACGGGTCTGGGTGTGAACAGGAGGTAGAATCTTAAGCCGAGGTCAGCACGTTACCAGTTCACGTTCTCTTCAGGGGGCCAGGGAGTTACACGTGCCAACCCTGGGGAGCCTAGGTTGTGTGTAGGCAGGTGGAGGACGGCGATGGCTCTCAGACTGTCAAGGGGGCTGATTGGGGCCACAGGCCACTTCTTTGGGAAGGTCGGAGAAATTGTAGTGAAGCATCTTCCTCCTGGCCTCTTTTCCTTGAAGCTGTGATTGTTGTGGTGGAGACAGAGGAGATCGAGGTGGGGTGCTGGGGAGGGGTAATCCCTCCCTTCCCCCCACCGGGCTCCTTGTCACCCGAGCTGGCCCCTGGCCGTGCCCACGACACCATCAGCTAAATTTGGGAGATTATGTTCAACTGTCCCCGGGATCAGGTTGCCTGAGTCACATGGTGGGGCTCTATTTAACTCGAGGCCTTCAGGCCCCCCCCCCCAGGCTGTTATGCCCTGCTCCTCTTCTAGAGGACTTAAGCCTGTGGCTACGTGTCCCTTCCCCCGGTCCTTGCCCGACTAGTGCCTCTGACCATCATGTTTTTGGTCCTTGTAGCCACACCTGAATTGAAGGATTTCTTTGCCAAGGCACGGAATGGATCTGTTAGGCTCATCAAAGTCGTCATTGAGGATGGTGAGTATCTCGGGGTGGGGGTGGGGCAGGTCATAGGTTGTTGTCATATGGAGAGCTGGAGGGTAGCTTGGAGAGGGCTCAGCTCCCCCCTCCCCTCCCTGCTAGTTTTAAAGATGAGCAAACCAGAGCCCGGAGAGGGGAAGGTACTGGCTCAGAATTACACAGCTGGTCAATGGAAGAGCAAGGATTCAAACCCAAGCCCCCTTGAGTCCAAAACCAGGCTCTTTCCTCCATAACTTTCTGTAGGGTTGATGGTTGTGGAGTGAGGGGGAAGTGGGGTTCTCTTCCTGGCCATTTTGTTTACATTTGGGGGGGTAAGGGTTTGGGGGTCAGAGTGAAAATATGGGTGTCTCAGGGTTAGGGGGAGTTTTAAGACTAGGGGTGAAGTCAGAAGGTCAGAATTTTAGATTCAAGGCCAGGGTTAGGGTTGTGGATGGGGGAAAAGGTGAGAGAAGGCAGATCTGGTTTCTGTTTCCATGTGTGTGTGTGTGTGTGTGTGTGTGTGTGTGTGTGTGTGTGTATAGAAGGGGCTGCCATGGACCTGGTCTAGGAAAGCCCATGTGCGTTCAACCTGCTCCTATGCTGGTGAATTTGGATTCTGTCATGGCTGTAGATGGTAGCAGTCCCAGCTTGGGCACAGAAGGAGCTTCTGGAAATTCAGTGGGTCTTAGAAACCTCAAAGCCTGAGCCACAAAGAACAGGCCCAGATCTGGGTCTGCCCTCAGGGAGCTGACCATGTGGAGGAAGATAGGAACAACTAGAGGAGAAATACAAACGGTAGGATCTAGCCCTAGAGCCTCTACCTATGGGAGGAACTGTAGTCTAGGGATAGTCAGGGAAGGCTTCCTGGAGGAGATATGACTTGAACTGGGCCCTAAGGAGATGCAGAAAGATTGGGGCATTTTGCAGTGGTCCCAGTATGTATATGACAGGAATCTGTGAATCTAGAGATGAAGCTAGAGAGGAAGGTCGGGATCACATCAAGATGTGTCTTAAATGTCAGGCTGAGGGTTTGGGACTTAATCTGGTGGGTAATAGGGAGCCATTGAAGGTTCTTCAGTAGGGGAGTGACTGGATCAAAGCTGGACTTTGGGTTCTGGTGGAACCCCTCCCCACCCCTTCCTACCCTGAGGTAGGGGTGTTCTCTGGTATTGGGCCAGAGATCCGGGGCTAAGGGAGGATATATTGAGGCATCCCTCACTTTGCACAATGACCCTTTTTTTGAAAGGTCGCAGGTGAATGTAGCATCCATCAGACCCTCTTTTCCACACTTGGGCTAGGTCAGATCTGGCTGCTCATAGAACAGACCCCACAGGGACAGAGCCCTTCCCCTTCTATTCGTCTTTGTTGTAAATGGTGACCTCAGTACCTGGATTCGCATATAGCATTGGCTTCAATAGGGACCTTCTCAGGCTCCAGAGAGAGAAAGCTGGCCGAGCCTCTTCTATGGGTCCCACCTGTGCTCCTTGGGGGGTGGGGTTAAGGGGTCAACCGTGGAGGATTGTGGAACAGCCTCTAACTACAGGGGATCTCTGAGGCTGTCAGTTCCTCTGGCTGTGCCTTACTGCTGCCTGCCCATTAGCTGTTTAGGGACCCCACTGGGCTGGGCCTCGGGCCCAGTAGGTCATTGGCCTGGCTCCCGAGGATGCTGGTGAGGCTGCTTGGCCAGCGGTGTTCTCAGATCTCAGTTGGCCCCTATTGGGGGGAGGGGGCAGGCTCCTTCTGGCTACTCAGCGTCGTATTTCAGCACCACTCCCCCCCAGGGACCCACCGGAGCCCATCTGGGCATTGCCGCCTTACTGTTTGCTGAGGGCAGGGTGTGAGAGGGGAGCCAGGGAGCAAGCAGAATTTCTCAGGGTGCTTGTTACAAAAAGGTCAACGTAAATCAGTCCAAACACGAAACTTCTAACATGCAGAGCCGTCCGACAGTGAACTTGGCTGTGTAAATAAGAGTTATCATGACTACTACTGAGTTCCTCGTCCCTGGAGGCATCCAAGCAATGTCTCTAAAGCCCCTCTGGTTCCTTGGTTCTCTGACTCCCCACTCAACTCCATCCCCTGCATAGATGCCAAGGTGATTTTTCTAAAGCGTAGTAGGTCTGACCATATCACCCCCTGCTCAGACAGCTCCTCTGGCTCCCTATTACCCCCAGGGCCAAATATTAAGTCGGTTTGGTTTTTTTTGGCTAGACAGTGGGGTTAAGTGACTTGCCCAGGGGCACACAGCTAGTAAGTGTCACGTGTCTGAGGTTGGATTTGAACCCAGGTCCCCCTAACTCCAAGGCCAATGCTCTACTGTGCCACCTAGCTGCCCCCAATTAAGTCCTTCTGTTGGTCATTTAAGAGTCCTTCACAACATGGCCACTCCCCACCTTTCTAGTCTTCCCCCCTCCATGAACTCTGTGATTCAGCAGCATGGGCCCAGTTGCTCTCCCTTGACCTTGTCCCTCCATGTCCCGTCACTGTGCTGGCCGCCCTCTGGCCTGGCCTCCTCTTCCCCTCACCTCTACCTCTTGGTTTCTCTTTCAAAATTCAGCTTAAGTCTCTGCTTTTCTGCCCTTCCCAGGTACTCATGCTGTTCCCTCTGGAAGATTACTTTCCATTTTCTCTGTATATATGTCGACTATAAGTAGTTACCACGTTGTCACCCCCTCTAGATTATGAGCTCCTAAAGGCAAGGACCAGTTTTTCCTTTCTTTTTATCTCCACGTAATAGGACCTTAAAATATTTTGAATTGAATTGAATCTAATTTCATTGTAACCAGTCAACAAGATTGCCATTCTCTGACCTTCGCCTGTCCAGGGACAAGCTGTCCTGGGCACTCTTATCATTCTCCTTTCACATCTGGTGCTGTCACCCTGTTTCATTTCATCTCGGCCAGGGGCTCATTCCTCCCCCCTGAGTTTCCTCTTCCTCACCCTCAACACTCAGCTCTCACCCTGTGGTATCTCTGTCTGTCAATTCTGTGAATAAGGCTATCAGTATCCTCTGTCTGTGTTAGTGATAGTGTTCAGAGCTGTGGACTTGGGAGTCAGGAAGACCTGGGCTGGAATCCTGTGTTGAGGACACTTACTAGCTGTGTGACTGTGGACGAGTTACTCAGCCTCTCTGGACCTCATTCCTCCTAACTGTAAAATGGGGATAATAACATGTGCAGTGTTCGTGCCTCAGGGTTGCTGTGAGGGTCTTGTGAGCTAAAACCCTGGCTAACTTTAAACTGCTATAGGAATGTCCATTACTGTTATTGCAATAATTATAATACCTACCTTCTCCCAGATATGTTGACCAGAGGAAGGTGGAAATGAGTGTGCGCCTTACAAAGTCACACCTTGCTGGGGACAGGGTGGACTTGGCAGGGGGGAAATCAGGAGACTTGACTGTCATTTTTTGCACAAAATTCTGCAAGTACTAATTAAGCACCTACTATATAGAGGTCCTCTTGCTGGGCTGTGGACGGTACAAAGGCAAACTTGATAGGTTCTCCATCCTCAGAGCTTACATTCCCCTGCGGGGGTCAGGGAAATGTGACATTAGGAAAATATAGCTAGTGTAGCATTTATCCAGCACTTGTTAGGTGCCAGGCACTACCAATAGTATCTCATTTTACCCTCCTAACAACTCTGGAAGGCAGATGCTATTGTTACCCCCATTTTACAGTTGAGGAAACTGAGGCAAACAGAAGTTAAGTTGACTTGCCTGAGTCACACAATTAGTAACTAGGCTGGATTGAACTCAGGTTTTCCTGACTATAGGCCCGAGCTGCCTCTGTGTTAGGTAAGTATAATACAAGATAGAAAGTGATGGAGGCCAAGGAAAGTTTCAAGAAATTTTGAGAATATTTGAGGAGGTTGAGGTCACTTTCAGCTGGGGTTGGGTAAGGGAATCAGGGAAGGCTGAATGAAGGAGGTGGTATCTAAGCCGATCCTTGCTAGCATGAAGAATGTGAGAGGCAGAGGTCAGTAGGGAGTGCACCCCAGGTGTGCGTGCAGGTGTCAGAGACAGCTGACTGGACTGTCAGCTTTGGGGAACAGCTGGTTTACCAGCTTGGGTGGAGCGTAGGGTGCATGAAGGGACATGATGAGGAATAAGGAATGCAGAGGTCGGGATGGACGGAGCCTTCAAAGTCAGACTGACAAGTTTGTATATTTTCCTCATGGCAGTAAGGAGCCTCTAAAGCAAAGGAATGACATGGTTATTCCCAAGACACAAGTCTAGGGAAGGTTATTTTGGCAGCAGCAAGAGATAGAGAGATACATAGAGGATAGAGCATTTATTAAGCACTTACTGTATACTGGGTGTGATGCTGGGGAGTACAGCGAAAAAACCAATGGCACAGTCCTTGTTTTCACATTCTAATGGGGGAAGATGGTACATAAAGGGCTACCGAAAGGGGTTTGATATAGGTAGAGGATGGAGCATTTATTAAGCACTTACTTTGTGCTGGGTGCTATGCTGGGGAATACAATGAAAAAGCCAGGATGCAGTTGTTGTCTTCACATTCTGATGGGGGAAGGTGGTACACAAAAGGTTACTGAGAGGAGTTTGAACAGGTGTGGGGAAATGAAAGCCTGGATCCAGGAAACATAAGTAAGGCAAACATTTGCTGTCAGAGCCCTGGAAGCTTCCAGAGTCAGAGTCCGGAGTGGTGGAGAAGTCTTGAAACCAGTAAGACCTGGGTTTGAATCCCACCTCAGACCCGTGCCAGCTGGATGCCCTGGCAGCCCCTCTCCGAGGCTTAGAGTTTATGGGAAAATGCTAGCTTGCACTGGGAGACTGTTTTCTGGCTATTCTGAGGAGGTCCCAGATCTAGTCCCTGTGCCCATGACGGATGGATAGGAGAAGAGAGACTCAGGAAGGGATACCAGTTGGAGGGCTGTTAAGATCACCTTTCAGCTCTGACGTTGTGTGATTCTGTCCCCTTTGGGGTCTAGCTTGGGTCCAGCCTGACATTTTGGGGAGGAGGGTATGGGGCTGGGGATTGGGGAAAGACTACCCTGCTTTTAGCACCTAGATTCATCGTCGTGTGAGCTCCAAGGTGAGGTCCAGGGAGGGGGAGTGGCTGCCATCCCGCTTAAGGGGCTGACTCCGCCCTGCGCCCCCAGAACAGCTCGTGCTGGGTGCCTTCAGGGAGCCAGCCCAGGGATGGGAACAGGACTACGACGCTGCCGTCCTGCCTCTGCTGGATGAGGGCCAGCCCTGCTACATCCTGTACCGGCTGGACTCCCACAATGCCCAGGGTTTCCAGTGGATCTTCATCGCCTGGTCCCCGACAGCTCTCCGGTGAGCCCCCTTCTTCCTCCCCCACTAACATACACACACAGGACCAGGGCCCATCAGACTTCCCCAGGCAAGATTAGGGGCTGGCACTGCGTGCGATGAGAGGGGGCCAGTGTCTTCCTCCTGACCCTGCAGCTGAGCCTCTCTCGGACCAGAGCCCTGACTGGGGAGCCAAGGGGGAAGCCTGGATCCTGCCTTCAGAGAGCTAGGTGGAGAGAAATATGTCCTGCCCTTGGGGGGTTCTCTTGTCTGAGGACAAGATGTGGTCCAGCCCTTTGATCCAGGAGGCTGAGACAGGTCTGAACTCAGGGAGCCTCTGATCGGAGGGAGACGCATTGCCTGCTCTTTGGTCTTCAGCTGAGCTGGATCCTCCCTCCCCCAGGTTCGACTGAAGATGCTTTATGCAGCTACAAGAGCGACAGTGAAGAAGGAGTTTGGTGGGGGCCACATCAAGGATGAACTCTTTGGGACAGTGAAGGTATGGTTAGTCTACCCACTTCCCCTCCCCCCCAGGGCATCCTACGGTATGAGATTGAAGGGATCTGTGGGTACCTGGAGCTGGGCACTGCCCCGATCCCTGACTCTACACATCCTTAGGTACTGGGGCAAGCCCCCATCCCACCATCCTGTATACTAATCGGACGTGGTCCAGGCTGGGGGGGTCTCGTCAGTTCCTGGCCCTTCCCCTCTCTGGCCTCAGTTTCTTCATCTGTAACATGTAGAAGTTTTTACTAGATGACCCTAAAGGTTCTTTCTGGTTCAGATAGGCCTTAGATCTGTGCTCTAGTGGAAAGAGCTCTGGACTTGGAAATCAGAAGAGCTGGCTTCAAATCCTGCGGAACTATGTTTGTCACTCAGTATTTCACGCCTCTGTTTTTTCATCTGTAAAATAGGGATAATTATACTTTTGCTGCCCACCTTTCAGGGGCATTGTGAGTAAAGCACTTGCAATAGGAATGTGGGTTGTTATCACACGGTGTCTGGAACAAAGTAAGCACACTTAATATGCTTTATCTCTATCTCTCTATTACCCTTCCCTGATATCCATCAATCAGGAAGCCTTTATCAAGCTTCTGCTGTATTCCAGGCACTGGGCTAGGGGCTCAGGATACAAGGACAGAAGTGAGACACCTTCTTTCAGGAAGCTTGCATTCTCTGAGAAAATGCCAGGTTGGTGTTACTGTCCCCATTTGACAGATAAGGGAGTTGAGGCCCACAAAGGGAAGGAGACCCAGAATCTCGAGAGTTGGAAGGTCTCAGTGGCCATCTGGTTCCACTCTTGCTTCTGGATCATACACCTGACAAGCTGTCGTCCAGCCTTTGCTCGAAGACTGCCAGTGAAAGGGAAGCCCCTCTGTGCCAACGTAGCCCATCGTGCTTTGAGATAGATCTCATTGTTAGGAAGTTTTCCTTGATGGGAAGCTTACATTTACTTCTCTGTAACTTCCAATTTCAATTTGATTCAATTCAATAAACATTTATTAAGCGCCTACTATGTGTCAGGCACTGTGCTAAGTGCCATGGATACAAATAAGAAAAGGAGAGATGGGTCCTGTCCTCAAGGAGCTTAGAATTGAACGGGGAACACAACACCCGAAGGAGACTGGAAAGCTAGGAAGCAGGGGAGAGAGGGGGAGAATGCAGGGGGTGCCCAGTGATGCATAAAAAGTTCTAGAGACATGATTTCAGGGTAATTAATCATTTTATTAATCATTCTAGCAGATAGTTAATAAAAAGGGTCAGTAACGCTCGAATACCAAAGATCCTTTTTGGAACTCAGTGAGTTCCTTGGAAGAGCAGGTATTCCTCAGGGTGGCAGTGGACTCTTAATGGTTAACAAGTGATGAGAGAGAAAGAATATTATAGTGAGAGGTGGACCTGTTCTAAGGAGCGGCTGGGGGACATGACTGATTATGAGACTCAGGGACAAAGAGAGACTATCTCAAGCCTGACTACTCCCAGCCTTGGGCAATCTAGCCTGCCCTGGGAACACAGTGGGCCAGAAGTCACCTTAGGTTAAATTCTTTGTAAGGTTCTCCAAGATTTCATCTCATCACGGGCCCTGCCCTTAAGAGAACTAAACTTTGACCTAATCTCCCAATGAGGGGAAAAGATTCCTGGGTCTCCCCAGCATTTGGTTATTTGATAACCATTTCTCTTACCAGCAGCTATTTCTAGTCTTATCTTCCAGGGCCCAGCAGACCGGATTGAGTCCTTCTTTTCCATAGCAGCTCTCCAAGTCTCTGAATGTAGCCGTCACATCCCCCGTCCGCACTGAAAGTCTTCTTTATGCCAGGAAGCCTCCCCAGTCCCTTCAGCTAACCCCTTAAGGTCGTTCTCCATCCTGGTCACCCTGCCTTTCCTGGTCTCCAGCCCTTCCAGCCCATCCTCAAATGTATGGCCCAGAACTGACCCCAGTACTCCAGGTGGGACAGTCTCTTCTCTCTGGCTTCTGGCCTACCTCTCTAGGAGCAGCCTAGAAGCCTGTTCATTTCTTGTGCTCAGGCAAAGAAGGTCAGCTTGCAGGCTACTAAATCCTCTGGGTCTGGCCTTATTGTAACTGTGGTCCAGCCCCGGCTTGGGCTTGGGTGTAGGACTCATGTGAACCCACGTGTGATACTTTACAATTTTTCTTTTCTTTTTTTTTCCTCCTGTGAGGCGATCAGGGTTAAGTGACTTGCCCAGGGTCACATGCTAGTGTCAAGTGTCTGAGGCCAGATTTGAACTCAGATCTTCCTGACTTCAGGGCCAGAGCTCTATCCGTTGCACCCCCTAGCTGCCCCTTGATGTTTTGTCTTTAATAAACTTCATCTTCCCAAGTTCAGCCCAGCTTCTAAGTCTGTGGAACTCTTCTGGATGATAGATAATAAATAATAAATGCTTGTGGATTGATTGATCACATAGAAAGGTCTTGGCAGTCAGATGAGAACCTGGGTCTCCCAACTTCCATCCCAGGGCTTTTTCCATCTCTTCGATATAAGCAGTTAGGAATGGAGAAGAAGGTAGAGAGGGAAAACCGCCGGAGGGCAGGACGAGGCACTTTATGTGCAAGGTATAGGGAGGCAGATTTAGGTTTGTTCTAAAGAAAGACTTCCTAATGATTAGAGCTCTGAAAAAGTGGGATGGGATGCTGGTAGGTTGTGAGTTCTTCATCCCTGGAGGTCTTTCGGCAGAGGCTGCAATTGATGTCCTAGCTGAACGCTGGGCTAGGGCCCAGTGTGAGCCACCAGGTGGCAGCATAAGCCCAGTACTGTCCCCCGAGTTGTGAAGAACTCATGGTGCCCAAACTGGAGACTTCTCTCTTCACAGCACCAAGCCTGGCCCTTCCTGGGTAGAGGGAACCCTGCTGGGCTTTCCTGCTTCCTTCTTCACCACCGCTGGCCCCAGCCTGCACCGTGCACTCTGGACATAAAACGTACAACTCAGAGCCGGGGTGCACCTCAGAGTCCCTCTGGGGAAACTGAGGCACAGTGAGAGGGAGTGATACCAACTGCGGTGTGGCACAGTGGAGAGAATGGATTTGAGATGAGAAGACCTGGGTTCAAATCTTGGCTTTGTCGCTTACTAGCTGTGGCTGTCAGCCAGTTCATAAGCATTTATTAAGCACCTCCTGTGTGCTAAGCACTGGGGGTACAAAGAAGAGCACAGAACAAACAGTCCCTGCTCTCAAGCGAGCATTTATGTAATGCTTCACAGTGGCTCATTTTCTCCTCCCAGTGACCCTGGAGGGAGGTGCTGTTATTCTCCCCATTTTTTATAGACTGAGGCACAGAGACATTAAGTGATATGCTTGGAGTCACACAGCTAGTGTCCATAGCTGGATTCGAACTCACATCTTCTTGACTCTAAGGTCAGTGCTCTCTCTTCAGTGCCACCGAGATTTCCATTTCTCAGGCACTTTAAGGTTCACAGAACACTGGTCTCATAACGTTCGTGTGAGGTATAGTATGAATATTATTTGTTGTTCCCATTTCAAAGAGGTGAAGACTGAGGGGAGAAGGGAAGGGAGATGCCTCCTGCCAGCATCTGTTGGTTACGTTGTGATTCCCTCAAGGGGGTAGCCAGCTCTCAGCCCATCTCCCCCTTCCCCGCTCATGATATTGTCTTCTACCCCCAGGATGACCTCTCCTTCAGCGGCTACCAGAAACACGTGTCATCCTGTGCTGCCCCAGCCCCACTGACCATGGCAGAGAGGGAGCTCCAGCAGATCCGGATCAATGAGGTGTGGCCCTCGGACAGGGGAGAAGAGAAGGTCCCGTCCCAGAAGGGGCGGACACCCATCGAGGATCGCCTGTGCTAAGCCTCAGAGCAGCTCCCGTTGAGATGCTTATTGGATCCCCCCTAGCCATGCTGGGGGCGAGCCCAGACAGAAGTCTTTCTGCTCATTTTATAGAGAAGGAGACTGAGGCACTGAGAAACAGTGACTCATCCCAGCTTATATTGGGGAGTTGATCAAAGTAGGACCTCTCATTCTGTCTCCGTAGGCCCCAAGGAGGTCTCCTGTCTACAGCCAGTCACCCCTCAAAACTCTCCCCTAGAGAAGCTTAATTATTGGCTTTTATTAACATTTCCTCGACAATACATTCAGAGAAGTCTGAGAAGGCCCATGGAAGAGTGGGCTTGATTCTGAGGGAGGCGCCCTGAGGGTCTGAGTCTAGAATCCAAGGGTCCTCACTCCCAGCCCAGAAGAGGGGGCTCTAGCCAGGGCAGTCCCTGGCTGCCTCAGTCTGCAGAGGACTGGACAAGGCAGTCTCATGATGGATGGGGAGGGCTTCAGGGGCATTGTCAAATCCCATCCTGGTGTGATACGAGCTGTTTAATGTGGGCTTGCTCTGTTTAATGAAACCTTCCAAGCTTTTCCTGAAGAGCAGAGCAGCTGGGGTGAGTGTGTGTGTGTATGTATATACTATGTGTATATATGGGTGTATATGTGTGAATGTATATGTGTGTGTGCTTGTATATGTGAGTGTGTGTATAGATGTGTGTGAATGAGTGTGTATGTGTGAGTGTATATATGCACATGTGTGTATATGTATATGTGAATATGTATATACTATGTATAAATATGTGTGTATAAGTGTGAATGTGTATGAGTGTGTGCGTGTATATATAAATGTGAGTATATATGTGTATAAGTGTGTGTGAGTGTGTATGTGTGTATGTATATAAGTGTGAGTGTGAATATGTATGTGTATGTGCATGTGTGTAAGTGTGTGTGTGTGTGTGTGTGTGTGTGTGAGCAGGGCTGGCTCCTCTCAAGGATTTCTCAGCCTTCAGCCCATGGGTTGAGGGGTACAGGGTAGGTCTGATTGCATTGTGCTAACCCCCACACAGCACTTCTCAGGGGATGTCACTGAGGGGATTCCTGATCAGGCCAGGTTGGACTGGATCTCTCCTAAAAGTCCCTCCTCGCTTGGAGATTCTGTGATTGTTTCGGTACCATCAGGTCTGGCTTCTCAGCCCCAGATAATCTCAGACTTCTCCCACTTTGCCTTTGTATCAGGGACCTTCTCTCCTTCTTCTCTACCCCTGCCCCATCCTGACTGGCTCAGCCCATTCATCTTCCTCCTCATGTTTGATTTGGAGTGTATTCTGAGAGCATCTCCCAGGGAGCTGATCCTGGGCTGGGCCCAGACCCACAGCTAGGGAAGGGAGCCACCCTAAAAAGAGGCTGGCTGGTCTGGGATTTGGCCTTTTCTCTAGTTAATAGGAGTCCTTGGGTGGTGGGTGGGTGGGGTTGGTGCTTAGGCCAGTTCAGGGGGGAGGGGGCCTTTCTGAGCAGTACCCTGGGGGTGGCAGTAGGGGTGGGGCTCTGGGCTCACCCCCACCCCTCCTGACCTTGTGGCCTAGGTGAAGACAGAGATCAGTGTGGAGAGTAAGCATCAGACCCTGCAAGGCCTGGCCTTCCCCCTGCAGCCGGAGGCCCAGCAGGCCATTCTGCTGCTAAAACAGAAGAAAATCAACTATATCCAGCTGGTGAGGCCCCTCCCCCCCATTCCTCCACTCTGCTAGGACCCCTGCTTTCAACCCTTCTCTGAAGGCTATTCCCTCTTGTGTTCACTCTTCCCTCCCAAGACTGACTCAGTCATATGGGCATTTTCCCTATGGAGGACCTTTCCTTTTAGAGACATGTCCCCCAGGGTAGAGATTCCCCAAAGAAGACTTTCTCTTAGAAGGGTGTTGCCCTTACCATGTGATTGCTCTGATAAAGAACTTCCCCTAGAAGGGCAATTCTTTTATTGAGGGGAGGGGGTTGGGTCCTTGTAAAAGAGTTTATAGAGGAATTTCTGCATGGAAGAGTGCCACAATAGAGGAACACCTCTCATGATAGGAGCCCTGGGTGCCATTTTTTCTGGTGTTAAAGCGCTGCATGCATAGAATTTCATTTTGAGGCTGATAATAACTATAAGACAGGTACTGTGGGAATTGTTATCCTCATTTTTACAGAAGAGGAAACTGAGGCTCAGAGTGATGTGACCTGCCCAGGGTCACACAAACTAGTACACTGGTTCTGAGAAGGTGTGCGCCCTATTGTGCAGCCAGTTATGGTGGATGCCAGTTCTACCTGGCACTGGGTGCCCACGTGAGGGCTTTAGTATTGATTCGGTCACAGTGGGCAGTGAGCGAAAGATGTTGGAAACTGTTGAGCTAGTGTGAAAGGTTGGACCCAGGTGTCTCCTGACTCTGCTGTGCTACCCTGACCTCCCTGCCATCATCACCATCGCTGTTACTGCTGCTGCCCTTTCTTTATAGATCCATTCCCCTCATAGCGGGACTGCCCTTACAGAGACGTATTGCCCCCATTAAGGACTTGGACTTATGGAGATATTTCTTGTATAGTAGAATTTCCCCAATAAAGGAGCTGCCTTGTAGGGACCTTTCCCTAGTAGGTTCAGCCTTGGTCCAAGGGCATCAAACGGGGACCCTCAGATTTTCCCCTGTAGTCAAGTTTCTCCTCTGGTGCAGTTGCTTCCATGAAGGTCTGGGGAGGGTGGGTACTGGCTGGAGCCTGGGACACCAGGGGCCAGCCCTGCCTTGACAGGGGTTGCCGTCCCCAGAAACTGGATCTGGAGCGGGAAACCATCGAGCTGGTACACACGAACCCCACAGAGGTGGTGGATCTGCCCAAGAGAGTACCCCAGGACTCTGCCCGCTACCACTTCTTCCTCTACAAACACTCCCATGAGGGCGACTACCTGGAGTCTGTGGGTGAGCAGGGACTTAGTCTTAGGGGCAAGGCATGGGGATGCCAGGACAATGGGAGGGTACCAGGACCTCCGAGGTGGGATGGAGTGGGGGAGGAAGGGGAGAGAGGGTGGTGTGGATGCAGGTGGAACCCTGGGGTCCTGGGGGCTGAGAGGCTCCTGGAGGGAGGCTGTGTGCTTAGCTCTGACCCCCACCATCTTCCATTGGCCCATCTTCCCACCGTGTGCCACCCCCCACCTGCAGTGTTCATCTACTCCATGCCTGGATATAAGTGCAGTATTAAGGAACGGATGTTGTACTCCAGCTGTAAGAGCCGACTACTGGACTCCGTGGAACAGGATTTCCAGTTGGAAATTACCAAAAAGGTGTGTGTGGTGGTGGGGTAGGCCTCAGTGGAGGCTCCTAACATTCCCTCCTACCCTGCTTTTCCTTCATTCACCATCTATGATACACCATCCTAGGTTGTTCTCCTGAAGGAGTCTCTTAGCTCGGGGAAAACTCAAAGACTCAAGTCACTTGGGTTGTAATTCCAGCTCTTGGTAATGTGATTCCCCTGCTTGGCCCTCAGGTTGCCTATCTGTACAATGGGAGAGCTGGGCTAGTGTGAACTTCTAGCTCTGACATCCTAGGATATATCTCATCAAAGCCTTATGACAGCCCCTGAGGGAGGCGGGGCAAAGATATTAACCCCATTTTACAAGTCCCAGTGAGGCTAAGGGATTTGCCCAGAGTCAGAGTGAAAGAGGTGTTAGTGAAAGAGGCAGGATTAGAACCCAGAGGTGCCGGGTCACAGCCCAGGACTCATTCTATATGCTACAGAGAAGGAGGCAGGGCAGCCTAGAGAGGGAAACAGGCTCAGAAGGACTGAGTCACCCTACATGTTTGTGTCAGGGTTGGGACTAGAACCCAGATGCATGCCCTGATTTATCACTTTGGGCTCTTCCCCTGCTCCCTGCCCCAGAGAACATTCCTTACCTGGGTCAGAAGGACACATGCTCCAAGGGTTCAGATGTCAGCGTTCTGGGGATATTGCTTCGTGGATGTGAGAATATGGGGTAACTATAGGTGTTGGAAACTCCCCAGGGTCAGAGTTGGGGCTTGAGAGGTAAGAGGGCCCTAGGTCTGAGTAGATCCATCTTGGGGTTCTGAGAGACAGGGGTTGGGGTACCCCCTGCTTCTGAGCAGACTGTCTTCATTCCACAGATCTAGTCCAAGGCTGAGCATTCTGGGCCTCAGAGTTCTCAGTGGGGTGGCATGGGGGCATGAGGGCTTGACCAGTCTAAAGCACCCTCCCCACTCTTCCCAGATGGAGATTGATGATGGGGCAGAGCTGACGGCAGAGTTCCTGTATGATGAAGTCCACCCCAAACAGCACGCCTTTAAGCAGGCCTTCGCCAAGCCCAAGGGCCCGGTGGGCAAGAGGGGCCAGAAGCGGCTTATCCGGGGCCCTGGAGAGAATGGCGATGAGAGCTAGGCGAGGGCCCGGCCCTCCTGTACCTTCATCTGCTGCAGGCTGAGCTGGAGTGGGCTGAGAACTGTTGGGCATCCTGGATCACAGTGACGTGGGCTCAGCCCCACTCTTGCACCTGGAGAGGCCCCTCCCCTGCCCCCAGGAGTTACCATGTGTTTGCGCTTTCTTTTTCTCTCTTTCTTCCTCTTTTTCTCTCTCTCTTCCCCCTCTCACTGTCAACCCTGAGGGAGATGTGTGAATTCCTGTCACCCATAGCGTCATTGTCCTGTCTTTGTCTGGCTCTTCTCACCGAGTTAACCCTGAGCTTATTTCTGTCTTGGCCACCTTTAACATCCACCACTCTCCATCTCTGTGTCCTCAGTCCCTCTCCCCTGATCACTATGCCCATTGAATTGAGTTGAACACCTGCTTTTGTGTCCTGCAGGCCCAATCGCCCCCATTTGTGTTATCCCACTTCCCGTGCTTGTACACGACATTCTTGTCCCTCCCTGCACACACTGTCTCCATCTTTATCCATCCCTATGCCCTCCATCCCTGTCCTCAGTCTCTCCTGCCAAGTTCGGGAGAATGGGGCTAGGCTTTTTTTTTTTAAATGGAGGGCCTTCTAAGTTTTAGGGAGGAAGATGGGCAGAAGGATGTTTGCTGAGTCTGGGAAGTGGAAGTGGGCTGCATCAGGGTGAACAGAAGAGGACATTAGCTGGGACCGGAGCCCAACTCAATTCTGAGACACCCCCCCCCCCATGGCAAGTGAACTCTGGGTGTGACGGGAGTTCAGCCCCCCGGAGGCTCACGGCTTAGCTGGGCAAGCAGGGTTGGGGGGGGTAACTGAGGGAGTGCAGGACTTACTGGGCTGAATGCTGTATTTTCTAAGGAATAAAGTATTTTTAAATCAAAGCCTCCATTGGTTCTTCTGAGGGCAACTTTCTTGGTGGGGGTGGGGCACTACCCCTTCCTTTAAAGGGGTGCCAACCACCTCTTGATTTGTTCATGTATGTCTCCCATGCAAATATGTGTCTGCAAATAGAATCACCGAGTGATTGGGAGGGACCTCTGAGAACTCTCATTTTATGTATTAGGAAAGTGACACCCAAGAGGAAAAAGGCCTTGCCCTGGGTCACTCACACCTCTTGGCTCCAGCTTCAGACAGCATCAATAACAGCTTTTTGCATCTGAAAACACTTTATTGGAGGTTTCTGAGATGCCTCCCCAGTGGCCTCTGGGGGTGGAGATGGCTTTGGTACTACTGGTGGAGCTCAGCCTGAAGCCTTCCCCCCACCCCAAGTTTCTAAAGCTGCCCCCTCCCCCCGGGGGTCACTAGCACCATTGATCACAGACACGGAGGGCCAGACACACAGCACAACAGAGGATGCACAGAGTGGTGTGCGATCCTTTCCAGCAATGACCCTGGAATGGGGTGGACCTGCTTCTGTGTCATTCCACAAAGGGAGGGCCTCCTGTGGTCAGGAGACCCTGAGGGTAGACAGGGAGTATAAGGTGAGGAGAGTTATTGGTGGGAGTGGTGGAGTGGGCCTGGGGTCCTGTATGATTTGAAAGACTCTAGCCTTTCTTCTGAGGCTGGATTTGAACTCAGGTCCTCCCAACTTCAGGGCCGGTGCTCTATCCACTGTGCCACCTAGCCCCTGCCTTTAGCTTTGAAGACCTTATTTTAGAGGGTGGGAAGGAATTTCTCCCCACTTCCCAAGGTAATTGTGGAGAGGTCACAGAGTCCATGCCCAAAGCCCCCCAAAGCTGACAGCTAGAAGCAGCAGGGACAGGGCCAGTGCCTCCCCAGCCTGGTTCCTTTCCTGGCATCTGTCCCCCTGCCAGCCCTGGTAGCAGTGACAGATAAAGTCTCTGCCCAGGGCCTCCCGCTGCCTGGGACTCAGTCGGCCTTGAATGGAAGCCTGGGTGTGGTTGGCAGCTATGGCCACGTGGATCTGGAAGGTGCTGGGCTCCAGGTGCAGGTAAGTGGGTGAGTCGGGGATCCGACGGCGACAGCGGCCGTGCCCGTTGCACTGGGACCGGCTGCAGAGGGCAGCTGCTGTGGTCACATTTAGCACGTAAGGGCCCAGTCTGCTCAGCAGGTAATGACGCATCTTCAAGCAGGTGCTCTGGTGGGAGAACAGCGCAAAGTGAGGAGAAGGAGTAGTGGCCTCTTTGGATCACCCACTTTTGGAGGGGAAGAAACCTAGAACCATAACAGTGTCTCAGCCAGAAGGGTATTTGAGATACCATTTCATCTAAACCTCTCATTTTACAGTTAGGGGAAACTGAGGCCCAGAAAGATTAAAAAAACCCAACACCTTACCCAATGTACCACAGTAGGTTGGAAGCAGAGCCAGAACTTTAATACAGATCCCAAATTCCTAGTCCAGGGCTCTTTCCACTAAACTATTATGTACTTCCTGTATTTGAGACCATCAAGCAAAGGGGCCTCCCTTAGTCACCCACAGGTTTGATTGGGAAGTTTTGTCTTTAGTCTAATCGCTGTGTCCTTCTATGACTAGCCTCGAGGGTCACCCATCTAGGAAGGAAGAGTGGCCCAGAAGCTCTCTGTCCTCCAGACACACTTCCCCAGGGGAATAGAAGTGGGGAAAACCATGGGAGCTGAGCCGGGGGGCAGGGTCCCTCTTTGTAAGTCGTCTCTTGATGTATTTTGTCTTTGGAGTGGCTCCGGCTCCTGCCTCTCCTAATTGTGTCCAGGTGGCTTTGTGCCAGCTGCCATCCATCCCCTCACACCCTGAGCTAGGCCTGCTGTTTGGGAGCAGAAGGTGGAGCCGCTATTTGCCGTGTCCTGCTCCTCCCCACCAGGCCCCAGCCCCAAGCCCCTCTGCTTACCTGGTTCCTAGCGTAGTCCGCCTCCCCCCAGAGCACCACTCCCTGGGCTCCCATGGCAGCTGCTTGACCAATCGTGTGCTCCAGGTCCACCTGGGGAAGAAAGGAAAATACAGTTCCATCCATTTTTTGGTCCTGGTTCGAGGCTGCTCCAGCCCCAGACCTCGTCCAAGCTCCCTTGTCCCAGCTACTGACTCATTTCTTATCTCTATGACAGTCCCAGCCTTTGACCCAGCCCCTGCCCCTGCTTCTTAGGTGGCCTGATGCTGAGGATGACCAGGAGCTGGTCAGGGTGGGGCCACCGCTCTGCCTACTAAGGTTGAGAGAGCCTTTGGGGGATGGAGATGGGGAATTTCTTTGTAGGGGTGGGAAGGTAAGGATCTGGGCTGGTTGAAACTCCCTGGGAATGTCCCAGATCTAGAAATACCCTCTGGGAGGGAAAATAGCAGAAGAACTGAGAATGCTGTACAGTCACAGGCCAGGATGACAGCTTCTCCTTCACACAAAGCAGCTCAGTTCATCAAGACCAGTGAGGCCTGTGATCTGACTCATCCACCCTCACCTAGTTCCAACTGCCAGGGTCACAATTTCTTTTTTTCTTTTTTTTGCAATTCTTTTTTCTTTTTAGGCTATTGGGGTTAAGTGACTTGCCCAGGGTCACACAGCTAGTAAGTGTCAAGTATTTGGTCTGAGGCCAAATTTGAACTCAGGTCCTCCTGTCTTCAGGGCCGGTGCTCTATCCATTGTGCCACCTAGCTGCCCCCAGGGTCACCATTTCCTTTCTGCATGAGTCCCTGCACTAGGAGGTGTCTAGTACATGCTTGTGGGATTGAACCTAATTCATAGGAATCAGCGTTGGAAGAACCTGAAAGACCATCTCATCCAGACCTTCCTGCAGATGGGCAAACTAGGACTGAGAGAGGGAGGGGAGGCAGGAGGGAGGGAAGGAAGCATTCATTAGACACCTGTCATGTGACAGATACTGCACTAAGTGCTTTGCAAATATTATCTCATTTGACCCTCACAACAACCCTGGGGGTCAGGGGCTATTATCCTCACTTCAGTTGAGAAAACTGAGTCAGGCAGAGGTCAATGACTTGCCCAGGCTCAGGAAGCTAGTAAATGTCTGAGGCCAAATTTGAATTCAGGTCTTCACCCAGGTGCCTGAGGGAAGTGACAAGCCCAAATTCACGCTGCTAGTAAGAAGCAGAGGAAGAATTTGAACCCAGGTCCTATGGCTTCAAGTCCAAGGCTCTTCCTTCAGTACCAGACTGGCTCAGCCACCCCGGCCACCCCTTTGCTCTCACTTGCCCAGGATCAGTCTCTCCTAGATGTCCAGTTACAGCCACACCTACAGTCACTCTGGGTCCTGGGACAGTCCCAGCACCTTTGAGAGGCCAGGTTCCAGTCTAGCTCCCCACCTGTGCCAGCTCCTTCAGGGTATAGGAGTAGAAGGGTCTGGCGTATACAAAGACAGGCAGTGAGTAGCTGGCAGAAGCAGGCAGTTCGGCCACCCTCAGGGCCTCCCACACTTTGGCCCTTACAAAGCGCTCGCCCTGGGCTGAGCCACGAAGCACCTCCTCCAGGTAGATGGAGGGGTACAGGGCCCGGCTCTGCTCCCACAGCCAGAGCAGAGCGTTGTTACGCTGCCGCTCGATGCCTGGGCAGTGCCCTGTGAAGTTTTCAAAGTCCTCCCAGTAGTGGTAGTTGTAGCAGTCAGGGAAGAGGTAGTAGCCCCACCAACCCCCGGGCCTCCGTGCCCTTGCCAGGCGCAGAGTCTCAGACATGAAGCGGGCAGCTGCCGTCTCGAACTCCCATTGGGCTTGGAGCTCCACCCGACCCTGAGGCCAGGTAGGGTAGCGCTGGCGCACCAGATGAGCAGACATGGTGCGGTAGACCCCCTTCTTGTCCCAATTCCGGACCCAGAGTGGACGCCAGGTCTCCCAGTCGATGACGGAAAGGCCAGAGAAGGCCCGGGAGGGGATGGCTGCCTCTAGGTCACGTTCCATGGCATCCAGGTGGGCACGGAGGCTGGCATTCTGTGGGCAGCCACCATGCACTGGCCGAGGCACTGGAGCTGGGTCTGCCTGGTAGTGTGGGTATAGCCCTAGCTGATGCTGGTAGAAGATGGTGATATTGCCACCAGCAAAGACCTCCTGGTCGTTGGTTACCACACCAAAGGGCTCAAGGGGCAGGGGCAGGCTGAAAGCTGTACGGCAGCGGGAGGTGGGCGCATTCCATACCACTAGGAAGGGCCGGTTCTGTAGCATGGGGGACAGTGACGGCTTCAGCATCCGGGGGTCCATGGGGCTGGCTGAAAGTAGTAGCAGCAGCAGGAAAAGATGGAGGTGGAGGTTCAGAGGCCCAAGCTGACCTTGGAAGCTAAGTGCTGAGGATCTGGAAAGGGAGAGAATATTGCCATAAGACCAAATCCCACTGGATTCTTCCTCTGCCCCCAGGCTCTCATCCTAACCCTCATGGCTGGGGTTAGAGGCAGGTGGGCAGCCCCTATTAAGGCAGTTTGGGGAGCTCCATTCTGGGGATACAAATGTTGATCCAAACCTACCTAGTTTCTCTTCCCCGGGTTCTAAGGGCACTGCCAAGAGGGCCTTGGCCCCAGAACCACTCTGTTCCTTTGTCACTCAGGACTTTTGGCTGGGAGAAAGTGGTGAAGACTCCATCTTTCAGGGGACAAGATGATAACAGAAGCAGTGGGGACCCCAAACCTTCCTCATCATTGCTGCTGGACACCTCCCAACTCCCTGAGTCTGATTCCATGGCTAAGGGTTATCATTCTGCCTGACTCTCCCCGCACATTCCCATCTCCTTGGCCTCAGGGCTTCTGGTCCCTTTATACCAATCAGCTGTCCTTTCTACACCTATCTTTCCTCTCTCCCTTGTCTCCTCTCCCATCACCTCATTTTCCAGGAAAACACCACCAGCCCCCTCTGATCCTGGACCTCCGGGGTGGGCATCAGTTAGAGAAGGGTAACCATGGCAACCACTGTCTTCCCAAGCCCCTAACACCCCACTCCCCTCCCACCCCCGCAACCTGTGTAGGAATGTAGGTCATGCTGAGAGCGGAAGGGGCAGGTGCCTGTGCATCTGATAGGGTCATCCCTGCAGTGTACCCCGTAATTCTATGCTCCCCTGCTCTGGGCAGTGGGGTAGTCTGTCCTCTACTTCCCCTTCCACCGTCTCTGTGAGTGCGAGAAGCAGGAAACCTGAGAGTTTGGGGGAGTCACAGCTGAGTGAGGGGGGCTGGAGACAGAAGCCATGGCCACTACCCCACATAGGGGGAGCTCTAAACTTTCCTAAGACAGAAGGTGGGATAATATCCTCCCGCAATAATCTCTCCTGTCACACCCAGACTAATTTCCTTTATTTCTCCAAGGAGCCCTTTTCCTGAGAGGTGATAGCCTGCATCCGCACCCCCTCTCCCCCAGCTGCAATATCGTAAACCTTTTCTACTCCAGGAAGAATGGGAAGCTCAACCCTCCTTTGCCCTGTCTCTACCCAAGGAGCCCCAGGTAGGGAATGGGATGAGAGGGAAAAAAGGAGAGATCAACCCATCAATCAACTAACAAGTACTTCTTAAACTCTTATTGTGCACCAGGGTGCTAGCCTCTGGGGGTATAAAGACAGAAATGAAATGGTCCCTGGTGGCACAGTGTTTAGAAAGCTGAGCCTGGAGTCAGGAAGACTTGAGTTCAAATCCAGCCATAGACACTTACTTAACTGTGACCTTGGGTAAGTCATTTATTTAACTTTTGTTTGCCTGTAAAATGGGGATAATAAAAGCAACTACATCCCTAGGGTCATTGTGAAGATTGAATGAGATAACATTTGTAAAAGCACTTAACACAGTGCCTGGCACATTGTAGGCTAGTATAGCTAGTATAAATACTAGTTATTATTATTATACATTTTATTTGGGGGAGACAAAACATGTATAAAAATATGCAAAACAAAGTAATTTGGTGGGAAAGGGCACCAGTAGCTGAGGGTGGAGGCGGGGGACTGCGTATTTGTCGAGAAAAGGTGGTTTGTAAGTTGAGTTTTGAAGAAAATGAAGGATTCGAAGATGGAGGGTGGAGAAGTCTGCATTCAAGGCATGGGGGGGGGGACAGTAAGTGGACAATGGAAAGAGGAGTAGTTCTGTATTCGAGGAATAGTAAAAAAACAGGCCACCCTGGGTGGACCTCCCAGTTTGGGAAAGGGAATAATGTATCACCAAGCCAGAAAGAGAGGTTGAGGCCAGGTTCCAAATAGAGTTCTCTATTTCGTCCCAGAGGCAATATGGAAGCACCAGAGTGTATCGAGTGGTTCAGTGACTCGTCTGGTTTTTAGGTAAATTACTCTGTGGAGGATGGACTTGAATGGAGAGAGACTTAAGGCACCTGGACCAGTTAGGAGGCAGTTACCATAAAAGTTGAGAGGGTGATGGCTGGTGACTAGTGAGGAAGGGGTTGGATTTGAGAGACATTGTAGAGGTAAAACCGGCAAGGTTTGGTAACACTAGGAAGAGTCAGGAAGACCTAAGTTTGAATCCTGCTTCAGACTTCCTCCAAGTGTGACCTTGGACAAGTCACTTCAGTGTCTCCCAGCCTCAGTTTTCCCCTATGTAAAATGGGGACAATGACCCTACCTACATCACAGAGTTGTTGTAAGGATCAGAAGAAACAATACGTAAAATACATTTCACACTTTATAGGGCTATGAAAATGTTTGCTTCGGCTGCTACTGCTACTACTGCTGTACGTAGACAAGGTGAATGAGAAGGAGGAGTCAAGAAGAATGTCTGGGCTTCAGACAGATTTCCCTGAAAGGGCAGTGGTAGCCTCGACAGAAATAAGGAAGTTCCAAAGGAGGGGTGGGTTTTGGAGGAAATATCATGAGTTCTGTTCCAGGCACATTGAGTTTAAGATGCTTATGGGACGTTCATTTGAAATGTCCAGGAAGCCATTGGTGATGTGGCACTGGAGTTCAGGAATGAGCCTGGGAGCCACTGGCAAAGAGAAGGTAAGAAATCTAACGGAGTAGAAGGAAAATGATGAGATCTCTAGGTGAAGAGTAGAGAGAGAGGTGGATCTAGGGGAGAGCCTTGGAACACATCCACCAGTAGAAGTCAGGATATGAATGAAAAGCCAGCAAGGGAAACTGAGGACAGATAGGTGATATTGTGTTCTGTTGTTTCAGACTTTTCTTGACCCCATTTGGGGTTTTCTTAGCAAAGATACTGGAGTGGTGTGCCATTTCCTTCTCCAGCTCATCTGCCAGATGAGGAAACTGAGGCAAACAGCGTTAAATGACTTGCCCAGGATCACACAGTAAGTGTCTGAGGCTGGATTTGAACTCAGGAAGATAAGTCTTCCTGACTCCAGGCCTGGTACTCTAACCACTGTGCCACCTAGCTGTCCCATCAGATAGGCAGGAGGAGAATTAAGAGAGAGTAACATCATAAAAACCCAGAGAGACTATCCAGAAGAAAGGGTGTAAGAAAGTGTCCAAAAGGACAAATACATTTTTTTTTCTGGGTAATTTAATCCTTTTATTAGTAAGGCCAGCAGGTTGTTAATAAAAGGAGGGTCATTTGGCTGTCTCTCAGACCAAAGTCCCCTAAATGGCAATGGGGTCACAGTTGATATACCCTTCAAGGAGAAGGTCTTTCTGAGGGGTGACAATTGACTTGGTTAACACAAAGACAGGTATGGCTATATTAAAATGAAGGTCTTGAGGCACACGACTTGGGTCACTCAAATCTTGGTCAAAGAGGCATCAATTTCCATATCACCTGTCTTGACAACAGGGAGAATCAACCTTACCCCAGGCCTGTCAGATCAAACACAACAAGCAGGAATACACCCATTAGCCCACACTTAGGATTTATTTTACTGTCTGATTAGATCTTGGCTTGGGTTAATCTCCAAGAGAAATTTCCCACACTGGTTGGTTTCTGGATGAGGAAGTAGAAAAGGAGAAAAATGGCCCTAATACAATACTTATTTATTAAATATAAGAGAGAAATATTCATTTCTCACATTCCGCAATTTGATTCTAATTGAGAGATGAAGTCTCCCACTAACTGATATTACAAACACTTCAAGGGTTCTTAACTATGAGGCTTATGATAGGGAACAATGTGAGGGGGGAAAGGGGAGAAATCCAGTAGTGTACTGACAAAACCAAAGGGGGCAGTCCCCTTTAGTAAGTAAACCTTACAGATGGAGAGATGCAAAGGGAAAAAGTAAACAGTAAAAAAAAAATGTTCATTTAAGGCTCAGAAGTCTCCTCTCATACAGCAGTCTCGGGACACCATCTGATGCAGCTCTGGTCTGGGTGTCAAAAGGATAAATATTGAGATAAGGCTATCAGATTGGAAAAGGTGGTCAGCAGAAAGGTCGAGAAGAATGAGGGCTAAGATGGGTGAACCTGGCAAGCAACTGATCACCGGGAACTTTGCAGAGAGTGGTTTCAGTTGAGTGGAGATGTTGGAAGCTAAATTGCAAAGGGCTGAGAACTGACTGAGAGAAGTGGAGGCAATGACTAGAGACACATTTTTCTACCATTTTGTCTGTGAAAGGTAGAAGAGGTGATAGCTTGAGGGGATAGGAGGGTCTAGTGAGGTTTCTTTGATTGTTTTAGGATGGGAGATGTGAATATTTGTAGACAGTAGGAGAGATTGGAAGATTATGGGGGGGTGTAATTATCTGGAGAAGACAGGAGGAGATGTGATCAAGGGCACATGTGGAGGGGTTGTCCTTGATGAACAGAAGGGTAACCTCTTTATCAGAGAATGGAGTTAGGGAGGAGAGAATGGGGGAGTGATCTCAACGGGATTGGAGTTGAGATGTAGACAAGGGAATAAAACTAGTAGCCTCTATTTTCTCAATAAAGTGTGAAAGGAGGCTGTCAGCTAAATGAGGGAACTGGGTGATATGGGAGGTTGGAGGAGAATCTAGGTTTGGAACAGCCTCTTTGGGCAATGGGATAGAGAATCTATTAGAGAGGAACCTTGTCCTGGTGAAGATCCAGTTGAGATCAGATAACATAACTTTGTAATGGGCACAGTTAACTTGATGTCATGACTTCTAGCTTTGTTCAGCAGCACATGAGTAGAAGCAGAAGAAGCAACAGTGGGAATGATCCAGGGTTGGGGTCTGGCCATATGTGATGCTTGGCAGAAAAAGGGAGCAGGGGATTGGAGAGTATAGGACCATGGAGAGACAAACTGGTTAACTATCCAGTTGGGATTAGGAAGGAAGGAAAGTGAAGTTTGAGCAGGGATAATGGCCTGGGAGAGTAGGGGGGATGGAGGGACTGGAAGTCCTGGTGAGGATGAAAAAGAGAAGAGGGGTGAGGCACAGGATAGAGAAGGGAGTCTAGAGGTGGGAGATAGAAGAGAAGGCTGGGACAAGGAGGGAGAAAGGGTGGGACCTTCCTCACCCAAAAGACCATGAGGCCACCTCATGCTTTCTCTACGGAAGAAGCTTCAAGACCAAGACTTAAGCCTCTAAAGATTCCATGAATCTCAAGCTACATCCAGTTTTCTGGCCCTGACTTTGTTCCTTGATTCTGACTCATCCCTTAGGACAAAGAGAAGACGCCCCCCACCCCCCTCCACGATACCACTATGAGACCTAGAGTTGGAAGAGCTCTCTGAAGCTATTTAGTACATTCCTCTTCTTTTACAGGTGAAGAGGTGAGGCTCCAGAAGGTTGTGACTTGCCCAAGATCATGGGGGTAGTATGAAATGTGAGATCTGAACCAAATTCCTCAGAATCCAGAACTTCCCCCTTCTTTCCAATGCACAGCAATGCTTGCTATCAGCATTTGCTGGACTGAATAAAATTGAGATTTCAGACACAATCCTAGGCACATCCATCCCCAAAGATCCACATCCACACACAGAATCCCATAGGCACACATATTGTCCCCCCAGGCTCCTTCTCCCAGCCTCACCTGCACCCCACGCCTTCCTCCTTACAC